CATATAAATGTGTATATATGTATTTTCTAAAATAAATGGGCTCAGACATGCTTGCTATTTGTAACACAGATTTTTAAACTTTATAATGTAGATAGCATGAACCACTTCATTAATAGTTTTTAATTGCTGCCTAAAATTTCATTAAATGGATAAAACATCTCTTTCAACGAATCTATTACTTCTAGTACTTAAGTATTTCCAGTTTTTCACTATTACAGACAAACAGGTGATATACTGATAGTCACCAAGACCATTTTGGGCTTCCTCAGGCTCACTGATTCACTAGAAGGACTCACAGAATTCAGAAGAGCTATTATACAAAGATAAGGTTTATTATAGCAAAATGACACAGATTAAAATGAGCAAGGGAAAAAGGTACATTTGTAAAGTTCAGTTTCACGTAATCCCCTCCCAGAAGAGTCACACAGGGATGTGCTCAATTCACCCAGTGATGAGGTATGACAACATGTGTGAAGTATTGCCAAAAGAAGCCTTCCCAAGCCTCTTTGTCCAAGGTTTTTATTGGGGACTACTTACATGGATATGTGTCTTCTGATTCTCCAGTCACCCAGAGGTCCAAGTGATTCAGCATGATCCAGGGCTTTTTTGTTTTTGATCTGAACACTGACTGGGCCCTCAGTTGTCCTTTCCCACAGGTCAGTTTTCACATGTATTCTCCAGTCTCTTCAGGCAAAATTTCCTCAACCTACCTATTTTTCTCAAACCTGTGTCCTCACTCTTAGCATATAAACTAGATATTTCTTTCACTCAGAAAACAGAATGCCTGTGGCTTTTTTCCTCCCTGCATTTCCATCCATCCTTCTCCCCATTCCTCTTGTTGCAGTGGGAAAGGATGATAATCTACCCAGAGGTTCTGGGTCACACTCCACTCTCCAGTTTATTCAAGGACTCCAGGGCTGGAGATGTAGTGGTAGAGAAGGTGGTTAGCATGTGCAAAGCCCTGGGTTCAACTCTCAGATAGTAATATATATATATATATATATATATATATATATATATATATATATATATTCCCCCCCTCCCAAGGACTTCTTTTTTCCTTCTCTTGGTATTTTGCCAGAACTTAAAAAAATCCTATAGACACACACACACACACACACACACACACACACACACACATCCCTCCCTCACATTTCCCTTTGGCATGGTATCATCTTTCTTTTCTTTTCTTAAAAGACTGGTCCATACTAACTACCTCCATTTTTCTATTTTCTACTTCCTCCTTGCCCCCTGCAATCAAGCTCCCTTTCCCCAACTCCATTCCCAATAACTTCCCTGAAACTACTCTCACTTAGACCTTGAAGTTGTTAACTCCACTGGGAAATTTCACTTCCTACTTTACTTGACCTCTCTGTGGCTCATCTTTGGCTTCTGAAGTATCAATTTATCTTACTATCTCCTTGGCTGTGACTCAGGGATTTTTTTTTTTTAATTTACTTGTCCCTTAAATCTTTTTTTTTTTCTTTAGCAGTCACTCCTTTCCTTTTGCAGTTTTAAAAACGTTTTTGAGACAGGGCCTCACTATGTAGCCCAGATTGGCCTTAAACTCATGATACTCCTGCCTCAGCCTCCAAAGTGCTGGGATTATAAGCTTATGCCATCATGCCTGGCTTTTTGCATCTTGTCTTGTACTCGCATCCTAGACAATCTCATCAATCCTAGTCTCCTCATAAGATGATGACTGAACTGCTTTTCTGAGTGTCATAACTTACTATCCAACCAATTAGCAGTCATACTTACTTGGGAGTCAACGTGTCCCAAAGCAGATTTACTTTTCTCCAAACTAAGGCTCCTTCATTATTTCCTATGTTGGTGAATGAAGCCATCTGTGGAGAGAGGACTACATAAGCACAGGTCTATCAAATAAACTGCGAGTTTCAGTTTGGCACAGCCCCAAACCCCATTAAGGGGACAAGCATAGTTATGCCCAATAAACTTCAAGCTTGAGTTGGCACAGCCTCTGCTCCAGAAGTGGGCCAGATGCAGCACAGCTGTTTTTCCTAAGATGTTTACATTCAGAGAGAAACTGTCACAGGTTCCTCCTGTTCCTGAGATTACAATGTCATGAACTGCCTTTCCACCTCTTGTTTCCATCCAAGCATCCAGCCTACCTGGCCCCAGCTTTATGCATGTTTGATCTTCTGTCTGTTGTCTTTTTCTGCATCTCCCATAACCCTCAGTTAGGAGTCTAGGACAAGCTCATGTGGGACGCGAGAGCCATCATCCACCCAATGAGCCAAACCAGAAACAACATCATCTTTGATTTCTCCCTCTTTCATCTCCTGTATTCATGTTGTCTCAAAGCTTCCTCTCTTCCACCTTCTTTCTTTCTTCTTTTTTTTTTCAGTGGTACTGGGGTTTGAACTCAGAGTCTCACGCTTGCTGGGTAGGCACTCCACCAACTCTTCTACCTTCTTAATAGCTCTGAAACACATTCCCTTCCTCTGCATTTCTTATGCCAGTACCCCAGGCCTTGTCTTTCCTGACTCAGTTATTGCCCAATATTTTATTTGGACTCTGTCACTACAATTGTCCTTTCTAATCTATTCCCCACATGATAGTCAGATTTATTTTATAAGAACCAAATCAAGTTGTATTATTCTGCTGTTTAAACCATAATAGTCTACATATAGTCTTTATAGTTGTGCACAGGACACTGGAAGGATAGGCATGTTCAGATCATGAGAGCAACATTTACCTTGGTAAGAAGTTTTAGCTTTTTCTTAAAAACTATATGTATGTATGTATGCGTGTGTGTACATACATGCATATATAAGTATATAAAAATAAATTGCTATTTATTGTATATTCATGTATATGCATATATACATAATAGTATATATGCATATAGTATATATGCATATACATAAATATACAATAAATAGCAATTGTTTACAAGAATGTGGAGAAACTGGAACTCTTGTGCTTTGTTGGTGGAAATGTAAAATGGTGCAGCCTCTATGGAAAAGATTCTCAAAAAACTAAAAATGGAATCATGATATGATTCAGAAATCCCACTTCTAGGTATATAGCCAAAAGAATTGAAAGTAGAAATGTCAAAGAGACATTAGCATATTCATGTTCTTTGCCACATTATTCACAAAAGCCAAAAAAAGCAACCAAGATGTCTACCAGTGAATAAATGAATAAATAACACACACACACACACACACACACACACACACATTATTCTAGCATACAAAAAGAAGGAAATCCTATCATATGCTATAACATGGACGATCTTCATAGGACTTTATGTGGAATGAAATAAGCCAGTCACAGAAGAACAAATACTATATTATTCCACTTAATATGAACTATCTAGAGTAGTTACAATCATGGAAACCAAAAGTAGAATGGTAGCTGCCAGGGGGTGGGAGCTAGGAGGAAATTAGGAGTTGTTATTCAATTATTAGAGTTTCAGTTTTACAAGATGAAAAAGTTCCAGAGAACTTGACACAATTAAGTATAGTTGACACAGCTGAATTATATACTTTAAAATGAAAAGAGAGTACATTTTATATTATGACTTTTTGACTAAATTTTTTAAAAAAAATTTTGGCTCAGGTAAAGGTATCAGTATTTGGTGGTTCAGACAATGTTCATATTTATCTGTGCAGACATTATGACAGAGTGCCTGATTTTTGTCTTGTTCCATTATGGTCTCTTTGGGGCATAGATATGTATTATTATGTATATATATTATAAGGTAAAGGTCTCACTTCATTCTTTGGCAGGTGGGTATTAATTTTTCCCAACACCATTTATTGAGGAGACTGTCACTTCCCTATTGCATGGTCTTGGACTATTTGTTGAAGATCATTTGATGATATAAGTGTGAGGATTTATTTTTTGGCTGTTTATTCTGTTCTTTTGGTATACACATTTGCCTTTAAGCTAGTACCATAACTGCTACTTGCACCATAACTACAATTTCTTTTTTGCTTGTTGGTTTTTGTGTTTTGGGGTTTCTAAGCAGCCCACGTTGGCCTGGAACATGATCCTCCATACTCAGTCTCCCAAGTTCTGGAATTATAGACATGTATCACCACACACACTGCTAACTGCTACTTTTTATTTATTTTGGCAGCAGTGGGGTTTGAACTCAGGACCTTGTGCTTGCTAGGCAGGCATGCTTATCACTTGGGCTACTCCACCAGCCCCTAACTGCTACTTCTGAACCAAGTATAGATTTAGTATTTCTGTAGCATGCCTTCCCTATAGATAAGACTGAGATACCCAGTCATAGAATCCCCCCTCCAGCCCCCCACACTGTCAATTTGATTCCTGACAGCATCCAATCTAGAGCAAAGTCCTGCTTCTTTAAACTCTCTCCAAAACCATGCTAATAAAAAGCCCAAATCCTATAATAGGCTCTTCCTACCACCTGTTACTGAGATGCCTTGAAATGTTCATAGTTCTCTGATCAGTAATAAAATAACTTGTTTAACTACAGGTGGGTTCCTGGTGGTCTCAGGCTAGAGGGCAATGACATACAAAAACATGGGGTTCATACCTTCAAAATATATGACAGTAAACATCAAGAGAAGAATTTACATTCCCATAAAATTGGGTGAGGGGAGTAGTCGCAGGAGGAGAAATATAAATGGATTCTTAGCAGGAAAAAATGTTTTACTTCAAACGTACGAAACAATGCTGCTGACTTAGTGGATGGAAGCTTCATTTCAAATTTGAATTCGGTTGCTCCTCCTGCCTCTTCTACTTAAAGTCTTATCACAAAAAGCCTGCTACGGTTGGGGGGAAGCTGAGCTGAAATGGTTCTGAACAGGGCTCAGCAGCAGCAGCAGCCCTTCCCCTAAATCTGTATTCCCGCTGTCGACGTGGTCCTCCAGGGGCGCTACCGAGCAGCTGAGGCAGCCGGTGGCGGGGGTGGGGGTGGGGGGGGGTGGGGCATCAGGACGCTCTAGCCTATCGCCACTCAGTGGTAGGGGCCGCGACACCTGGCTTCCGGCGCCGCCATGTTGGAGGCGGAGGGCCAGAGCCATGGTTTTGAAGGCCGGATTCCAAGCGGCAGCGGGGCCAACTCCGTTGGGCAAATGCTGGAAGTACGGCCGGGGCTGTATCTGGGTGGGGCGGCGGCGGTCGCGGAGCCGGACCACCTGAGAGAGGCCGGCATCACCGCCGTGCTGACGGTGGACTCGGAACCAGGTTTCAAGGCGGGGGCCGGGTTCGAGGGTCTATGGAGCCTGTTTGTGCCAGCGCTGGACAAGCCCGAGACCGACTTGCTTAGCCACCTGGATCGCTGCGTGGCTTTCATCGGCCAGGCCCGCGACGAGGGCCGCGCCGTGTTGGTGCACTGGTGAGTGATCGGGTCGTTGGGGACAGGAGCATCGTCACACCTCCTGCGGGACGCGAGTGTCCCCAAGAGGGGGAGGTCTTGAGGCGGGTCCTTGATCCATGGGTTCTTTCGTTCATTCTTTAGCAACTTTTTTTTAAAGTTGGAGTTGGGGGTTCATAAAGTAAATGCCATCATTCTAAAGGCCTTATGGGCAGACACCTGTCCCAACGATTGCAGTGTAGACCAGATGTTTTGGGGAGGAAAGTTGTGATTGTTTTCTTCCCCGTCATAGCATAATGAATTTATTTAATCAAAGTTTTACATGACATGCACCCTTTAGAAATGAAGACCCAGGAAAACTTTTAGTCGTTTTTGTGCTTGGATTCAATTAAGAATGGGCAGTCGTGTAGAAATGGGATTGGACAGAAGGGGTATGAGCCCGTGTTAGGATAGTATGCAATAAGGACTGTATTGGCGTTGTTGGCTCCTTTGTGTAGCAATACTTCCGATGGGGAATAGGGTAGGACCCTATCTAGAGAGTCCTATGATCTATCAGATTATGTAGGTCACAGATTTTCTCCCCGCCCCCCCTTTTTTTTGGTCATGTTGGCATGTTAGGCAAATACTCTACTACTGAGTTACAGCCCCAGTCTTAAAGGAATTTCTCTATGGCTACCTCTTACACAGAAGAATGCAGGAAGGTTAGAGTAATATTTCTACATTGTTTTGTTTGCTTTGTTTTTTGGGGTGGGGTTTCACTATGTAACCCAGGCTAGCCTTGAATTTGGAATTCTCCTGTCACTACCTCCCAAGTAAGTGCTGGAATTACAGGCATGCACCACCATGTTGCCTTATTTCTAGTTTTTTAAATTGTTTTTTACACTTACTGACATGTATATACATTGTTTGGGCCACCTCTCCCCTGCCATCCCCTTATTTCTAGTTTAATGGCTAGCTTTGGAGTAGAGAGGTTCTAGTTTCTGTAACATGCCTTGGGGAAGAAAGGGAAGCAGGAGGAAAGATTAAATGGAAGAAGTAACTTATAGATTATTATGTGCACAGAAGCCATCATAATTATTCATTAGTCCATCCTGATTGAGAAGCTTATCTGTGCTTTTTTCCATAGGGGAAGGGGAGTACAGGAAGAGAAAACAATTTTTAGGGGAATAGAAATGATTTTTAGGAGGATTCAGTGGGCATGGAGAAATATACAGTGACTTGGGACAAATTTTTTGAGCCTGAAGAGCAGACAATGAATATTAAGTAATTATCTCTGGACTGTTGAGTGGGACCGAAATAGAAGACAAAAGGTGTGTGACAATATCTGTCTAGGTATGCTGATGGACTTGTTTTTCTTCCTGCTATATGAGTTTAGCTAATGGAAACTCAGGGAACAGACCAGAGGTAATTGTTTTCATCCTTGGTGGGTCTGGACTTTAAGAAAACAAGAAGATAGTTTCTTCTTCCAGCATCTGCTGCTCTCCTTTTTTTTTTTTAATTTTGTATTTCTTTTATTTATTTATTTATTTCCTTTTCTTTATACGTACATACAATGTTTGGGTCATCCCCCATCTCCCCCCCCCCCGGCTTCTGAGCAGAAACTGTTATGCCCTTATCTCCAATTTTGTTGAAGAGAGTATAAACATTAATAAGGAGGACCAAGGGTTTTTTCTAGTTGAGATAAGAAAGCTATACAGGGAGATTCCTTGCATTGCTTTCCTGTGCATATGTGATGCATTCTAAATTGATTCTTCTCGAACTAACCTTTTCTCTTGTACCTGATCCCCTCTGTCCTTTTAAAGTTTCTGCATAGGTAAACACAACAAGGGGAAAGCAATGAGTTCCTTTAATTTAAAGTAGTAAGCATAGTATGGTGCCATATTTTGGGATGGTAGTTCCTGGACTCCTTCAGTACTAAGAGAGATTAACAAAGGTTGAAGTTATTCCGACTGCAGAGGAAAAGCATATTTTTTTTTGTTTTGGTACTGGGGATCAAACCCAATATCTCATGCAGGTTAAGCAAGTGCTCTACCACTGAGCTGTACCCTCAGCCCCAAGAGATTATTTTTAATATTTTGTTTGGGGTAATGGAGGGTTATTGATGAAAGGGAGAATTGGCTGGGATCTAAATGATTCCTAGGCTTTGGAGTATGTTGCAGCAATGATAAAAAGAAAATCTTAACAGGTATTTGGGAATCCCTGAGTAGACCTGCTGGTTAGCTTGAAATGTGATAGCAGTAGTTGAAATTTACTGGGCATGTACTCTGTGCCAGCATTTCTTCTGAAGATTTACATGAGGGATAGAAACTAGGGATAGAATTGAAAGACATCTGGAACCAGATCTGGAGGGACCTGAATGTTAAGAGCAAATGAACTTAGAGGTGTTCTGGAGCCATTACAAGAGTTTAAAAAATTAGGGCAATTATTTTTGAGTAGGTGATACATTCACATTGTTCAGAACTCAAAAGGAATAAGGAAATAATGGCATAATTTTTTTGTACATTGGTAGTATTTCAGAAGCTGTGGGTTTGAGTAGAAGCAGAAGTACACTTGAGTTTACCATTAATGGAGGGCTGGGTTTTGTCTTTTTTTTTTTTTTTAATTGTTGCTATTTGCTATTTTATTTTGAAGGTCTCTTTTTCAGTCATGCAGGAGTCAGTCGAAGTGTCGCTGTAGTGACTGCTTTCATGATGAAGACTGACAAACTTACCTTTGAAAAAGCCTATGAAAACCTTCAGACTATCAAACCAGATGTTAAGTGAGTACTTTGTCATAGCAGTAATTCAACTTTTGTAATGTGATTTTATTTAAGAAAATTGAGTGTTTGTTTGTTATTACAGGATGAATGAAGGATTTGAATGGCAACTGAAATTGTATCAGGCAATGGGATATGAAGTGGATACCTCCAGTGCAGTTTATAAGCAGTATCGTTTACAAAAGGTTACAGAGAAGTATCCAGGTAAGTAATAATTGCTGGCATATATTGGACTTTTTTCAGGTGTCACTTATTTAGACACTAAATGCATTATCTCTCTTTTCCAGCAATCCTGTGAGATAGGTACTATTGTTTCCTTTTGAAACTGTGGGTTAGCCAGAAATAACTCACTCAAGATCACATTGATTATAAGTGGCAGGCTGAGACTTGAATTTAGGCAGTCTGATCTAGGACCCAAGACATACTCACTGTTCTCTCCTACCTCACCCTCTCAACACAGTTTCATGTTTTGTTTTGTTTTTTTAATTTCTGAGTTCAGGGCTGGCAGAGTGTCTGAAGTAGTAGAGCACCTGCCTAGCAGATGTGAGGCCTGAGTTCAAACTCCAGTAATGCCAAAAAAGAAAAAAAAAAATCTGACTTTAGCACTCATTGCCTCAGTTTTGCATTTGAATTTTGTTAGAAAATGCAGAAAGTTGACTGATAAATTCATGCATTTTAATTATGTCTTACAGAATTGCAGAATTTACCTCAAGAACTTTTTGCTGTTGACCCAACAACCATTTCACAAGGATCAAAAGATGAAGTTCTCTACAAATGTAGAAAGTGCAGGTAAAATATTTTTATATCCTCTGGAGATTTTATTCTGTCCTAATATAGCTGAAAAGCACTTAAAAGTTTTGTGTTCTTATTTTTGTAGGAAGAATTTGCTTAATTGAATACTGTAGAAATGATTAATTCAAATCTGTTTTCCAGAAGAATATAACTTAACAGTGAAGTAATCAGATTGTAGGGGTGATTAAAAATTTAAGTAGCATAATCACTGTTATATTATTTTGTCCTCTAAGAAATACTATACATTTCATTTGTTCTTAAAATCTTCTTGGAAGTCAATAATGTTTTTGTTTGGGGCTTGCAGGCGATCTTTGTTTCGACGTTCTAGTATTTTGGATCATAATGAAGGAAGTGGGCCTATAGCCTTTGCCCACAAGAGAATGACACCATCTTTCATGCTTACCACAGGGAGTCAGGCTCAATGTACATCTTATTTCATTGAACCTGTACAGTGGATGGAATCTACTTTGTTGGGAGTGATAGATGGACAGGTGAGAACACATTTGATTTTCTACAATTACATTGTATCATCTTTATTTTGATTCGTTTTTGCTTTTTCAACTATATTTTTACCAGTGTTTTACTCCATATTAACACCTTTCTTTTTGAAGATTATACCTTGCAGTATAGTTAAGGCTACCAAAAATAAACTTTTGTGTGTGTTTGTTTTGATGGTGGGGATTAAGCCCAGTGTCTTTTCCATGCTAAGAATGCAATACTTTTATAAAAAGTATTTTTTTATAAAACAGCCAATTCAAAGTTCATTAATTACATTTGGTTGAAAACCACTGACCTAAGTTAATAGATTCCTTATAAGACTATTATATTTTTTCAAATATGTCTAACATTTGTTTTTTTTCTTTGTGGTACTGGGGTTTAAACTCAGGGCCTACACCTTTAGCCACTCCACCAGTGTGTTTTTGTGATGGGTTTTTTCAAGATACAGTCTTGCGAACTATTTGCCCGGGCCAGCCTCGAACCGTGATCCTCCTGATCTCTGCCTCCGGAATAGCTCAGCCTTAACATTTGTTTTTAAACTAATTAGAAATAGGTTTGACAAAATTTGAACTTTTAACAAGTAGGTTAGATTTTAAAATTAGGTTTAAAATTTCTTTTTCTCTGTTGGCTTAATGGTTTGTTCACTTATGCTCGTTCTCTGTCTCTTTCACTGATCTTTGAATTTAGTATGCTTGCGATGAGATTCTTTTTCATTTCCTGTTAAGGACTGCAGTCAAATAAATGTTCTTTGTCATCCATTTTTCTCCTTTAGGTATACTTGACATTAATCTGAGGGATTCTATAATAAAAGTTTTTCGTTTATGTTTTGGTACTGGGGATTTACCCAAGGCTTCGTGCATGCCAAGCATGGCTCTTCCACTGGTCTACAACCCCAACCACCTATACTAAAAATCTTAATGAATTTTTTTGTTTTGTTTTGATTTGTCTCACTATGTAGCTCAGGTTGGTCTCCGACACGTGATCTTCCTGCCTCAGTCTTCTGAGTGGTGTGATTGTAAACGTGTGTCACTTGGTTCAGTCTTAATGAATTTGAAAGGCTGTGTGGTTCATATAAAAGTTTGTACAATTGATATTTTATGAAACCTTTTTACTATAATAATCTCATTTGAGGAATATAATAGCTTTATAAAAAAGAGAGCAGATGTATTTGTAATTTATACTTGGAGAGACTTAGTTTATATTAGTGTTTTGCCTGGAAAGTGTTTAAATTTAGCTGTTTTTTAAAAACAGCTTTATTAAGATGCAACTCAGCCAGGCATGAAAGTACATTTCTGTAATACTAGGAGGCTCACAAGTTTGAGGCCAACCCAGACTATATAGCGAGACAATATAACTCACTTACCTTACAATTCACCCATGTAAAGTTGTATAATTCCATAGTTTTTTTGGTCACCATAATAATCCTCATTACCCTCAAACTAATGCATCCAATAGCAGTCACTTCCCATTTTTTTTTTTTTGTGGAGTTTTTTTGGTACTGGAGTTTGAACTCAGGGCCTTGTTCTTGATAGGCAAGCACTCAACTACTTGAGCCACACTCCCAGCCCTTTTTGCTTTAGTTATCTTTTTCATATAGGGTGTTAAACTTTTTTGTTGGTTGCTGGCCTTGTACCATGATCCTCCTACCTACACTCCCCGATAACTGGGATTTACAACTATGTACCACCAAGCTGGGTTTGTTTGTTGAAATGCAGTCTTGCTAACTTTTTGCCCAGGCTGATCTCAAACCATGATCCTCCCAATCTCCACCTACCAAGTAGCTGAAATTACAGGTATGTACCATCATGCCTGGCATCACTTCCCATGATTAATAGTGTTATTTGTAGCAGATAGAATTTTTAATTTTGATGAATTCCAATTTATCTTTTATTTCTCTTTTGTGTTTTTGATCTTGCTGCCTTTAGCCTGGAAAACACACACACACACACACACACACACACAGACACACACACACAGACACACACAGAGGACTTTTTTTGTGAAAGACTGTAAATCACACTTATGTGTGCTTTTTTTGCAATGCTGGGGATGGAATGCAGGATCTTGTGCATGCTAGGCAAGTACTCTACCACTGAGTTACGTTCCTCATCCTTGTTCTTTTGAGATAGGGTCTTACTATGTAGCTCAGACTGGTTTTGACCTTGCTATATAGCCTCAGCTGGACTCATGGTCCTTTTGCCTCTGTACTCTGTGTGCTGGAATTTCTCTGTCTGTCTCTCTCTCTCTCTGTCTCTCTTGTGACAGGGTCTTCCTATATAGTTCCTATACAGTGGTCTTGACCTCACTGTGTAGTGAGGCTGTCCTTAAACTCATGATCCTCCTTCTTAGCTTCCCAAAGTAATAATGGGATTACAGGTTTGTACCACCATGCCTGGCTGTGTTAGTTTTTTCATTTATGGTTTCTGAGTTTTATGTCAAGACTTTCTGTAGCTCAAGATTTAAAATAAAAATCTCTACCTCATACTATTTATACCTCATGTATAGATTAAAGTGCTAAATATAAAAAAAATGCCAGAGCTACATTAGAGAAAATATAATTGACTTGTTAAGTATTTTTGGATGTATCTATTTTATTGGATCATCAGTTTTTCTGACTTGTGTGCTGTCAATATCAGTTAGTAATAGGACTGAGAATCCTAACATGCTTTCTGTCCTTTATCCATGATGTTTTTATTTGAAATCTTAAGTTGCAAATTTAAAAGCCATGTATGAGGGCTGGTGGAGTAGCTAAAGTGGGGGAGCACCTAGCAAGCCTAGCAAGTGTGAGGCCCTGAGTTCAAACCCTAGTCCCACAAAAATCCTTACCTGAGTCTTAAGTTCAGCTTTTTTTCCTCCAACCTGGAATTCATTTGTTCTTCATGAGTACAAAATGCCTCTTATACAATAATTGTAATTCATGATCTACAGTAAATTTCCAATGCATTTTATTTCCCTGATTAGATTCTTTGAAGATAAGAACTATCTCTTACTTATTTTTATATCCTATGTTACCAAAGCTTGTTGTTCAATTCATATAAAACTGAATGGATGAAATAACACATGTGCTTTATTTCAGCTGCTTTGTCCAAAATGCAGTGCCAAGTTGGGTTCCTTCAATTGGTATGGTGAACAGTGCTCGTGTGGTAGATGGATAACACCTGCTTTTCAAATACATAAGAATAGAGTGGATGAAATGAAAATGCTGCCAGTTTTGGGATCACAAACAAGAAAATTATGAACTTGTGATGTTTGGTAGCTTGGAAAGAAGCCCGTTGATGATGTGGGCTACCCTGGCTTGTTATTTATTATTCATGACAAGAGTGTAGTTTTTAGGCCAACATTTCATTTGAAATGTGACAGGATAAAATCATTTGATGTAACATGGAAGTTATGCTTTATTAGTTTAATACATGATGTAAATAGAGTATTTACGTGGCAATCAAAAGCTTTTTAATCATGTACATTTGAGTTGATATTAAAACCTTTTATAATCCAGGTACTTTCTGTGTTTCATATATTTTAATTTTAAAAAAATTAAAAATTTTTGTTGTGTTGTGGATTGGTCTTTTGTACCGGTATTGTGCAGTTGAAAGTTCTCTGAGCCCGCAGACTTGAGCATGCTACACAAACACTTTACCACTCAGCTACATCTCCTGCCCTTCATATATTTTAAAAGTTTTGAGTTAAGTCTGGATAGACAAATTTATGTATAAAAATTGAAACTGTCAGTGTTGAGGTAGGTTTCCAGAAATGTAAAGCAGATTTAGTTATATTTTGAAAACTGTTTTTCTTTTTTTTTTGCAGCACTGGAGTTTGAACTCATGGCCTCACACTTTCTAGGTAGGCTCTCCACCATATGAGTCACTCTACCAGCCCTGTTTTGTGTTGGGTGTTTTAGAGATAGGGTCTGATGAACTTTTTTCCTGCATTGGCTTAGAACTGCAATCCTCCTGTTCTCTGCCTCCTGAGTAGCTAGGATTACAGGCATGAGCCATGGGTGTCTGGCTCTTTCTCTGTTTGAAGGGACATTAGTAAGCCTACATATGTTAGGTCTTTCTTGGAAGTGTAAAGGAATGGTCATTAGTAAAATACCGATTTAAGTGTAGTTTTCCAGTTACTGTTCAGAAATCCCCATTTCATCTACATTTTTAGAAAAATGTATTTGAGATAGCTCTAGAAGTAACCTACATAAAGAAGTGTATTAATGGTAGGTAATAAAGATGAAGAAAAAATGGAGTTATTTGTCAATTACTCTTTTAGCTCAATATGTTTAAGTGTTGGACATATTCTAGAGTTTAATTTACTTATTAATAATAGAATTGGACCTAATTAGATATTTGAACATTTACATGAAATCAGAATTACCAATAAAGGAAAGTCTGTGCCATTAAGACATTTTGCTTATTTACATGTGTCTGTATAATAAACATCAAAATGGTAGTGATTTTAAAATTAAAAAAAAATGTGAAGTGTCCTCTTTAAAAATGACCTGTATGGGATTGTTGTAGATGATTCTTGAAAAATATCAGTATATGATCTGAAACCTCTGGAAAAAGTTCCTTCATTTCTGTTGTAGCTTTCACAAAATCTGTTCACTAGTTTTTTCTATTGTCCTCTAGAAGCTTTTTTTTTTGGGGGGGGGGGTCTGGAGTTTGAAGTCAGGGCTTTGTGCTTGCTAAGCAGGCGCTCTACTACTTAAGCCAAATCTCCAGCCCTTTTTGCTCTGGTTATTGTGGATACAGGATCTTGCTTTTTAACCAGGCTGACCTCATCAAAAATTCTCCTGTTTTATACATTCTGCAGCTGGGGTGATAGGCACATGCCCCTGCATCCAGCTATTGATTGAGATGGGGTCTTGATAATCTTTTTGCCCAGGCTGGCCTTAAACTGTGAACCTCCTGATCTTAGTCTCCTAAATAGCTAGGATTATACTCCAGAAGCTTTTAAAAAACAGATTCATTGATAAGAAAAACAGTTGAATAGCTGAGTTGTACAGCTGAACTTAATGTATATCCTATACTGTATCATATAGCACAAAGAGAATGGCATATTTTCTTGCATTTGCAGTTTTTCAGTAAATGTGTACTGTGGATGTAGTATGTGCACAATTCCAGTGTCACAGTGAAGAAATCAGATAAGGCTTCTGCTTTCTTTTACATATATTCCAGCTGGGGGAGAGAGAGACAAAATAGCTTTTTGAAAGATAATTGAGTTTGCCAGTGAATGATTTCGGGAAACTTGTTTTCTTTATGTGAAAGAAAATTTGTGAAACATCTGAGATTTTAAAGTTCTTCAGTGCTTCACTTTTGGGGCGTAGATAGAAAATCTTACATACCTTCATTTTCTACTCCCCCCCCTTTTTTTAGGGGGGACTGGGGTTTGAGCTTAGGTTCTTGTACTTCCTAGGCAGGCACTCTAGCATTTTGAGCCACACCGTCAACTCTGCTTTAGGTAACTTTCAGGTATGGTCTTGCATTTTTGCCTGGGACCAGCCTGGACTCTATCCTCCTACCTCTGGGTTCCCAGGTACCTGGCATTATAGATTGGTACTACCCTAAGATGGGGGTCTCCCTAACTTTTTGGTTGGGCTGGCCTAGAACCTTGGTTCTTCTGATCTCCCCCTCCCAAGTAGCTGGGATTATGGGCTAGTCACCGTTCCTGGCCTTATAGCTTTTGTGTTTTTAGAGAAATAAAATAGAGCCCTTTCTTTTACATATCTTATTTAGGAATAACAATTTAGGTCATTTGGATTTACACATTTATTGAAAACAGAACTGTTAGTCTATTTCAGAGGCATTGTGCACAGTGAAGACGGTACTGAAGTAGAAGCTAGAGTTGGCTATAATAATTCTGGTCTACTGATTATTGTCTTATGGAAAGGGAGCAGATCTTTGAAAACTGGGTCAATTTTCTCCTTCACAAAAGGATTAGTAAATGCTCTGCCCTCCTGACAAGAGTTGCTTTAAAGATCATTATGTTAGCCTTAATTTGTTCATATATAAAATAGAGATAATAGTACCTATGTCTAGATTAATATGAGGATTTTGTGAAATACAATAAGGAATTTAGTACTGTACCTAGCTGGTAATAGTTGCAATTAAAAATAGCTGGAATTGGGGCTGGAGGTATGAACTAAGTGGTAGAGCACTTGCCTAACAAGTGTGAGGCCCTAAGTTCAAACCCCAGCACTGCCAAAAATAAAAAAATAAAAAAAATTTGCAACTTATTGCTCACATAAGTAGGTAATATGTATTACCTACTTTAAACCTCAGTACAATCCTATAAGATGAATCCTATCCTTATTTTACAAGTGAAATTGAGGATTAGAAAGATTAAGTCACTTCTTCAAGGTAACATAGCTAGCAAATCATTATACATAGATTAGAATCAAGACTGACTCCAGAATCTTGCTTTTAAACTCTATATTCTAGTTTTTGAGTTCACTATTTGGAGTCAAGTATGTCTGAAAGATGTCATGCTGAATATGTTGATCAGATTATAAAATCTACTAGTGCAGATGAAATGCAATTTCAACTAAGTTGTAAATTCAGTAATCAGACTCCCCACCAATGTTTGTAGGATGCCCGTAAGACTACACACTGGTGCCTACATGCTATTTGTGTTTACATTTTAAGGTTATGATTCAAGCTACCTTAAATGATAAATAAGTTGTTTTATTTTCTTATCGTGATGAATATACTTTCATAATGACCTAGAAGGCCAGGTTTTAATTTAGAATTCTCAGATTTTAAGTAGAGTTAGACTTTGACCCCACCCCTGATTTGTCCTGCATCTTGGACTGGTGATATATATACAAACACACATACCACCTACCACATATACCTAAGCTTGCTCTATTCTTATGACATACACAGTTTGCTCAGTTCACCCTTAGTAGGTCAGAAGCCTGAGCAAGCTCTAGAGGTAGACTTGGAGTCATTTGGGCTATTTGGATGTTACAAGCATGTGTAAAAAGGGCATGTGTTCTAGTTGGACGCATCACTGTCTCACCACAGATTCATATCCTGAGGGGAGAGAGATCAGAGAAAAGTTCTCCAAAGTGTGGACCCAGGGTTCCTGCCTACATCAAAGAGTGGTATTGTCTCTAGGTAAAAGTTCTTCAGATTTCATTTCTATTCCAAAAGTTTATATGGAATGTGAATGAGGAATAGATTCAAGAAAAAGGATTCAATCAGTGAACATGTATGATTTTAACAAAATGCAGAATATGAAAAATCTATAGAAAGATATTTAATGGCAAACCTTTTAAAACTTTAAAACTTCAAGTTGGGAACAAGTTAAAAGATGCCTGTGCTTGCCCCAATCTTCAATATTATAGTCCAGAAAAACAAAACAAAACATTGCAGTTGCGCAGTAAAACAAAGGGTGGGGGTGGGAATCTGAACTCACTGATAAGTCCTTTTTTTTTCCCCTACACTTGCAAAGCAGGTGCTTTACCACTTGAGTCACACCTCCAGTCCATCTTGCTATGGTTATTTTGGATATGGGTTTCATGAGGTATTTATGAGACCTGGGCTGCCTCAAAATGTGATCCTCCTGATCTCAACCTCCCAAGTAGCTAGGATTACAGGCATGAGCCTTGGCATCTGGCTGATAAATCTTGACATCACTACAAGTGGGACAATATTTATATTCTCCTGATATGATGCAAGGAAGTACCAGTTAAGTATTCTTGCAAAAAAAAAAGACAAAACAAAAACAAAACAGAAACCAAGCTTCTGGATGTAACTGGCAGTTTAGGAACAAATTTAAGTATCACTATGAAGATACATTCAGCAGAATCACAAAGTGGGAAATTCCACAGGACAAATACATGAAACAGTTATTAGATGATGTTAAGGAATTACTGATTTTGTTAGGGCATTATTTTTAAATAAGAAAAGGACTTCTCAATTTAGAGCCACATATTGAAGTATTTATGGATAAAATAATATGTCTGAATATAATATTATATTTAATTTGCTTTAAAATATTTCTGGAAGCCAGGTGTGCACACCTGTAATCCCAGCACTTAGGAGGCTGAGTCATGAGGATCACAGGTCCACGGCCAGCCTGGACTACCTAGAGAGTTCCAAGTCAGCCTTGGCTACATAAAGAGACCTGTTTCAAAAATCCAAAAACTGAAACAAAACAAAACAAACCTAGGAAACAGCAAAATACAAAATAAAAGTGTGTGGCAAACTGTTGAAACTGGGCAGTAAAAACAAAGGGATCCATTATCTTGTGTTTGAAAATTTCTGCATTAAAGGTTTATTTTTTAAGACCAAAATAAAATGTTAAGTGGAAATAGGTCAAGGCAAATATGACAGTTTAGCAAGGTTTTTGGATACAAGATTACCATACAAAAATCAACGTTGTTACTATGTTTAAATAATAACAACAGATAAAGGAAGAATGTGAAAAAAAATAACTACCGAAGAAACTAAAAAAAAAAAAATCTGACCTCAGGAGAAGGATTTAAGTGAAATACAAAAGCAAAAGATTGGTACATTTGGCTACATTAAAGTTAAAACCTAGAAGCCAAAAACACTATAAATAAGGATAAGTGTCAACTTTGGAGACAGCTGACACTAATAGCAAACTTTGTAAGAGTGAGCAGTTCACAGAAAAAAATACAAAGTTTAGTAAATATGAAAGAATGCAACACTTCTTTATTTGGCAGGGAATTACAAATTATAGTTACTGTTTAGTGACAAAAATTGTAAAAGTCTGATCATATCTAGTGTTGGTGAGAATGTGCAACCAAGAGAAGTTGTTACTGCTATGAGGCTATAATTTGGAATAATTTGGCAAGTGACCCTGCATACATCTTAAAGACATTCTTGGATAGACACACATGGAAGCCCTGCAAGGATATACTTTACACAGTAATAACTGAAAGAACCCAAGTGTCCCTCTTTAGGGAAATAAAAAAAGAACATGTTATATATGTGTTCAAGAAAATATCATAGAACAATTAAAACATGGATAGGTCCTCAAATAGTAATGTCGAAAGGAAAAGTGATTTAGAGAAGGTTAGAGTGGTAGTTATGTAAAATAAAAAAACCCCATAATGATGTTAAATATGTATCTACAAACATTCAAACGTGGCAAAAATAAAAATGGATTAAAGTGATTCATATAAAATTCATGCTAGAAGTTGCCCATATGCAGGGAGGGAAATGAAACGGGAAAATTAGAGTTTAACTTTATCTGTAATACTTAATTCCTTATGCTATGAAAAAATCAGAAAAATGCAAATGTTAATATTTGTTTACTCTTGGTGATGGGTTCTCAAATGTCCCATAATTACCTGAACTTACTGAATTACAAAATTCTTTTTAAAATAAAAAAGAAAACTTTCTTTTTCTTTTATTTTATTGTTTTTACATTTACTGACATGGGTATACATTCTTTCTGCCACTTCCTCCCCTTCCCCCACTTAACCCTCCCTCCCCCCACCATCCGCTTTTAGGCAGAACCTGTTCCGCCCTCTTCTCCGATTTTGTTGAAGAGAAAACATAAGAGGTAATAAGAAAGACATCCTTTTTGCTAGTTTGGGATAAAGATAGCTATACAGAAAGATTCCTAGCGTTGCTTCCATGCACTGTGAATAGTTCAATCATGATTTTCTTATAAGACTCATGCGTCATGTTTATTGCAGCGCTATTCACAATAGTCAAGTTATGGAAACAACCAAGATGCTCCACTACTGATGAATGGATCAAGAAAATGTGGTACTTGTGCACAATGGAATTTTACTCAGCCATGAAGAAGAATGAAATCTTATCATATTTGCAGGTAAATGGATGGAACTGGAGAACATCATTCTGAGCGAGGTCAGCCAGGCTCAGAAGACCAAAAATCATATTTTCTCTCTCATATGCGGACTTTAGATCTAGGGCAAGTGCAGCAATGTGGTTGGACTTGGATCACATGACAAGGGGAGAGCACGTACGGGAGATACAGGAATAGGTAGAAAAACCAAAACATGAAAGCGTTTGATGTCCCCACTCCAGAGGAATTAATACAGAAACCTTAAAAGACAGAGGTTATCATGAGCAGGGGCTCAGGAACCAAGGTAAAGATCAGAGTTGAATCAACATGGGTCGTAACACAAGTGTACACGAAAGCAATAGTAGGACTCTCTCTGTATAGCTATCCTTAACTAGCAAAAACGCTTTGTCTTCCTTATTATGCTTATGTCTTTGCTTCAACAAAATCAGTGATAAGGGCAGAACAGGACCTGCCTGGAACTGAGGGGGGAAGAGGGAAGGGGAGCCGGGTGGAGAAATGACTCTAACAATGCATGCACATGTGAATAAATGAACAACAACAAAAAGAAAATATCCAACACACACAAAGACTCATGCGTCTGGTGGATATAGAAGCATGATTTTAAGTTTTTATGTCAACTTTGAATTTGCAGCTGGGCCAGAATAAAAGTGTTATAAATTTCACCTTGTTTAACGTGTTAGTTATCCTGATGACAGACGGAGTCACCTTAGTGTAAGGGAGGCGTTGGTCCCGGCTGTTGCGCATTGTGCAATCTGTAGTAACATCCAGCCACGAGGACAGCGGAGGATTCTGGGAAGCGTTTCTGTTTTGTTTGTAACCATGGGAAAGATTTCACACGGTCCTAGAGGGATCCGGGTTCTTACACGGGAGAGGATTTTAAATAGTGCTGGCCGTTGACATTGAGCGAGAATGAAAGAGAAATTCTATCTAGCGGCCCTGAAACTATGTTATTAAACTTAGTTCACGCTTTCACAGCGATAGGACATTGTTAGTTAAAAAAAATCAAGTTTACAGTTAGTGTCTAATTTTCTTTTCAGATAGCTACACCGCTGTCTTAATAATCAGGCAACAAACCAGTGTGTTCAGAAAGGAGTTTTACTTTTCATTTTAAATATTATCAATAAATTTTGTTTAGCCGAAGCGGTGTCCACGTGCCTCTCCCGCCCTTAAAACGGAGGGACAGAAAGTGCTCAGAGATCTGATAATTTATCTCAGACATCTGCTGACGTTTCCTACCACAAATCACTCGCGCAGTCGCAAAGCTTTGACTCCTCTCGGCCACCGTCCACTTGGCGTTACGGGGTATTTTGTCCACCGGCAGCCGCCGTCCCAGATATTACTCACGAGTTCCAGGGCAGAGGAACTTGGGTTCGTGGGGTGCGGGCTGGTGTGTCCGGCACCATGGAGTCACCTTTTAGCCCAGGACTCTCTCACAGACCAGATGAAGATTGGGGTGAGTGGGGTCTGCTGATGAATGTACTCGGGGCCGCGTCCACGGGTTTCTTTCTGTCTTCTTCCGCTCGCCGGTGGCGACAGGTGTGGGCGAGCCTTGCCCCCGGAGCGAGGCCACTCGCTGCCGGTTCGCCGTCTGGGACTAGCAAAACCACTAGGCTTCTGTCTTAACCACAGCGGTACTAAAGTGTTGTCTTCATTGGAATGATAGGCTTTTCAGTGTTTTCCCCTGGGGAAGTACCAAGTGAACTTTGTGGAACAAAAACTCGACGGCTTGAGGAAGCTTGGACGGGATGGCAGCGTTCGCCCCAAAAGGCTGCAAGCTATTTTTTTAGACTGTGGGATGTGGGCAGTGGCGCCGTGCGTATGTGTGAGTGCTCGCGCGCGCACGCACGTGTACGTGAGACTGGGGACAATGCACAAAAAACTCAGCTGGCAGCTTTCATTATTGGTTTAAGGCTGATGTCCATATTGGCAAGAGAAGCAAAGTACCCAAGTACCTACCTCGCGTCTTGGATTACCTAGATCTAAACTTATAAACTGGCGCCATCCTCACCGAGGTCCAGACACAGCTCTCAATTTTCTTGCTTGGTTTTTGGTGGTCAGGAAGGGTGGAATGGAATGTAGTGGGAATAGGTTGGCGAAGCTTTGTCACCTAGGTGTTTAGAGGAAGATTTTATTCTCCTATTAATTGCAAGACATACTTGCACTTTCTTGGATTTCAGTGTGAATTTCGAATTTTGTAGGTCCTTGAATGGGCCTTGTAGTGAGCCTGTATCATTCACCAGCTTTGGAATTTGATGTGTTGGTGGAAACGCAGAATGATATTTACACTTCTCCACTAAACTGACATTCTCAGAAACATGAGTGGAATCTCAACCCCATTTATTGAAACGAACCCCTCATTTAATTTAACAGTGTCAGACTTTCTCTAAAATTATATTCTGTGAATGATTCATTTCAACCTTTGGGTAAATTTTCTAAGAGTTTCTGGAAAAACTTTTGACTGTCTATGACCAAGTGCATTTTCCCAGGCCAAATATATTAGTCATAGTAACAGCATTTCTTTAGCACTTTATTTATTTATTTGGTACTAGCGTGGAACATGTGTGCTAGGCAAGCACACAAGTCCTACCACTGAGCCAGATTCCCAGCCAGCACTTTACTTTTTGTGAGACCCCTTGCTAAGCTCTTTACGTGCATTATTTTATCTAATCGCCACAATAGTCCAGTGAAGTATCATTGTTTTATAGATGAAGAAAGTGAAGCTGAGAGAATTTGTGCTCAAAGTGTTAAAGCTAGTGAGTGGTAGAAGCAGGTTTGTCTACCTCCAAAACCTGCATCTCTGTTCTACAGTGCTTTCCTGAATTATTTCTGCAAGTTGGGTTCTTTGTAGGTGCCTCAGTTTTTGCTTCAGTATGTTGGGTAGTTATAATTTGTTTTCTCAGCTAGTCAACCATATTTTCATAATACTTCTTAAACTATGTCTGTGGAGCACTTCCTGATAGCTTTATTATACTTTGTCTTCTGATACCCAGCTGTGTTTTCCTGACTTCTAGTCTTAATGTTCTTTAACAGAGCATTCCGTTCTTTGCAGTCAATTGACTGACTCCTCTCTCAGGTATCCTGCCTGTCCCTCCCTGAATGTGTCCCTTTCCCATTGTTTTTCAGGTTTTCCTTTTCAAATTGTTAACTGTCTTCTCTTAGGTGAACACTTTCAATTTCTTAGGTGTTCAGTAGGTACCAGAGTGCAACACTGCTTCTTTTAGTGTTTCTCAGTAAAATATAGATTCTTTCTTTGGGAATTGCTGTTTCGGGTGTTCAACTATTTTGCTGTGTACTTTATGTTTTAATAAGATTAGAAGCTACTCAGTTAAATGTTAAAAGTCAGATTATATAATTAGTATTTCTGGCAATTCTAACAACTTTAAATAATTAAATTGATCAGCCCAGAACAACCTATGATAGGACTTTTTAAAAAATTTGGATAATGAAATTTAAAGCAGAGGTCTGCAAAGATTTTTTGAAAAGGTTCAGATAGTAAATATTTTAGGCATTGTGATCATGTGGTTTCTGTTGAAAGCTATTCCATGTGGTAGTGAAAAAGTGGCCATAGAGGATGTAAATGAGTAAGAATGGCTATGTTCCAATAAAAGCTCATATAAACTGAAATCTGAATTTCACTGTTTTTATTTTTTTTACATTTATTTATTTATTTCAGCAGCTTGTTATGTAGCTCAGGCTGGCTTTGAACTCGTGATCTTCTTGCCTTAGCATTCTGAATGCTGAGATTACGGATGTGCACCACCATGCCTGGCTGACGTAATTATTTTTAATACAGTTCTTAGTAATCTTGCTTTTTAAAAATACAGTTTTAGATTTACAGTGTAGTGGAGCAGATAGTACATATAATTTCATATCCTTCCTCCCCATGATTTCCCCAATTGGTGACATCTTCATTAGTGTGATATTTGTGTTACAATTGATGAGCTAGTTTTGATACAGTTATTAACTAATGGATAAAGCTTAATTTAGACCTTAATGTAAGGGTTTTGACAAATGTATCATTACTTGTATCCATCATTATAGTATCATATAGAGTAGTTTCACTGTCCTAAAGATTCCCTATGCTCTATCTATTCTTCCCTCTTTCCCTTCTCTTGAGCTCCCCATCCCTACCCCATAAGCACTGATCTTTTCACTGTTTCTGTAGTGGTTGCCTTTTGCAGAATGCCATGTATTTGGATTCCATCCATTTCTTTTTTGTAGCTTGATAACTTATTTATTTTTAGCACTGAATAATACTACATTATGGGATGTTCCATAGTGCATTAGTCTCTGCTCAGGATACTATGACAAAATATTATAGATTGGGTGGCTTAGTAGAAATTTTGTTGCTCATAGTTCTCAAGGCTGGAAATTCAAGATCAGGTTGTTAGCATTTTCCAGTTTTGGTGATTGCTTTCTTTTGGCCTGAAGATGACTGCCTTCTTGCTATGTCCTCATATGACTTTGAGAGAAAGAGTCATTCTCTTTTTATTAGCCACAGTTCTATCAGATTAGGACCTTACCCTTATGCCATCATTTAACCTTAATCAACTCCTAAAGACCCTATCTCTGGATACAGTTGTGTTGGGGTTAGGGCTTCAATATATGCGGTTGTGAGGGACACAGTTCAGTCCATAGCACACAGTTTGCTTATCCATTTACCCATTGAAGCATATCTTGGTTGCATCTAAATTTTAGCAATTATACGTGAGGCTGCTATAAGCATTGATGTGCAGGTTTTTATGTGGACATGAGCTTTCACATCATTTGGGTAAATATTAAGGCACATGATTGCTGGATCATATGGTAAGAATATGTTTAGTTTTGTAAGAAACTGCCAAACTGTTTCCCGAAGTGGCTGTACCATTTTGCATTCCCACCAGCAATGAGTGAGTGTTGTGTTGCTCTGCATCCTCACTAGCATCTGGTGTTGACAGTGTTTTGAGTTTAGTCATTGTAATAGGTGTGGAGTGGTATCTCATTGTTTTTTAATTTGCAATTTTCTGATGACATATGGTGTTGAGCATCTTTTCTTATGGCTATCTTTATATTTTACCTCTCATTTCTTCTACCTCCCTCTTGCCTGTATTTGTGCAAAAGCCACTTTTGCGGGAGGCGGGGACCCACATAAGATATATGTACCAACTTGCGAAGCTTCCTGCTACTATGGTTTCTTTTGTCTTCAGTTTCTTCCACAAAGGCTCTCTTCCTTTTCTTGCACTAACCAAAACCTGTTGCTCCCAGATACCACAGCTTTCCCTAATGCCCTAGTGAGTGTAACTCTTCATTCTCAAAGGCTTTTTTAAATCATAGTGCCTCTGAAGGCGACATTGATGTCTTCTTTGTCCGTCCCTGCCACTTGCATTCTCCTTTCCTCCACTGTATATCTAGGTAAAAATCTCATTTTGTCACAGTATGCAATCTTCCACCTCTCTCTTTTGCATTGATCTGATGATTCCTAAGTCACTCTTACTTTTTTGAAAAGTTTAGCTAATAGCTTATTGACACTTCCTTGAACATCACACCTGTCATGATTCTTAGATTTTTTAGTATTCTCAGAGAAGATCCTTTAAGTACACTTATGTACTGGACCTTCTCTCTACTTGTGATCTTGCTTTTCACCTTGTTGGGCTATTTACTCCCCTGATCATAAGCCTAAATCTTTTAATTTCCAATACATAATCTCACTTTCAGACATCCTACTCTGACCACCATCTCTTGTCTTACTAGTTTACCCCCACCCCCACTTTTGTTTTTGTTTCTTTGAGACAGGGTCTCACTATGTAAGCCCAGGTGATCCTCCTGCCTCAGTCTCCCAGTGCTGGGATTACAGATGTGCATGCCTGGTGGTTTACCCCTTTTAGTATTCCAATTCTGACAGTCTTATGATCCTACTGAGATTTTTTTCATCTTTTCACTGTCTCTGTTTCCATCATGACATCACTTTCTCTTTACCTGGGTTAAGTACTCTGGACAATCTTTATAACCATTCCCTTGCTTATACCCTTAATGTCCTTGTCCATTTCTTGTTTTATAGGTCTCTTGGATAAACTACAGCCTCACTTGAATCTAACTTTCCCTACTCCATGACTGCACTTGCAACTGAACCTAGCTAAAAAAAAATTCAGCCATGTTGACTGGGTTCACTTTAAATTTATGATACTTACCTGAAATAGACCAGGCCAGCCATATTTCTCTGGTCTTGTCACTTTCCCACTCTTATATTGTTTTATAAAGTTTCTTCTCTCTTCAAACTTCCAGTACCTCCTTGGAATTTGAGCTTCCACAATCTCCCACTGCCTCATTTACTCAGCTACCAGCATGTTTGCCTTCTCTTTTGATGCTGAGAATAGTCTCCTGCTCCTAGCCAGTCCTTCTCGTGTGCTTTAGCTCCCTCCTGCTTTGTTCAAGAATGTTTCTCAAGCTGTTCTTCCTTCTGCTTCCTGCAGCGTCATTTCCATCATCTCTGCCAGTAAGCATGTAGTTACTTCTCTTATTTAGAGTTAAAAAACCCCAATAACAACAGCAAAATAAAATGCCAAAACCCTCTTGAAATGGCACTTCTCTTTCTTTTCTTTTTTTTCTTTCCTGTACTGGGGTTTGATTTGAACTCAGGGCCTACACCTTACCACTCCATCAGCCCCCCCCTCCCTTTTTGTCATGGATTTTTTTTGAGATAGGATCTTGTGAACTATTTGCCTGGGCTGGCTTCAAACTGCGATCCTCTTGATCTTTGCCTCCTGAGTAGCTAGGATTATAAGTGTGAGCCACCGATGCCCAGCTTGGTACTTCTCCTCTTGCTGCTACCACATTTCTCATTTTTATTTTTTTAGTAGGATTCCTTAAAAGTCCATGTGTAATGGTTCCACTTTATCTTCTTTCATGTCTCCTGAAGCCACTCCTGTTAGATTTGAACACTCCACTGAAACTACTGTTTCTAAGGTCGTTGCTGATTTCTGTGTTGCTAAATCCAGTGGTCATTTCTCATCTTACTAAACATATAAGGAGTAAACAAATAAATAGATGGTCAAGGTGGAGGTCAGGTAGAAAAGCTTGCTGTGTAAGCTAAAATAATAATCATAGTTTGCTAGTGCTGAGAGAAGTCTAAATTTCAGTAGTTTGGAATTGAGAAAGATTTGGGACTAGGAATAGATTTTAGAACTATTTTAGAGATAATTAGTGCCACCAGTTTCTCATGGGTTCTTCTGAAATATCCTGTGGATATAAGAATATATTTATCAACCCACCCTTAGTTTTTTTTAACCACAGAAAAGTTGAAAGATTAGTACATTGGTAACCTGCATTTCCTTATCTAGATGTATTTAACTGTTAACATCCTGCCACAGTCTCTCAGAATGACACCACATTTCCCTTTCTTTCGCCATCTGAAACTTCTAAACAGATCATCTGAAACATCTCAGCACTTCACTATGTATTTCCTAAGAACAAGAGATACTTATTTTTAAAAAGCATGAATTCAGACTAATTTTGAGAAGTGTGTCATGTGAACCTAGATAGTATAGTCTAATATACTCTTAGATTATATGGTGTACGAATATATGGTATATCTTATTGCTCCTATGAACAAAACAACATGAGATTAAATCAAGCATGGAGAAAAATGATGCAATTGAGTCACAGTATATGTGAGATGTATGATGTCTGTGCCACTGTAACATGGCATATTGTTTTATTGTAGATTTTTTTTATAAGTAGAAGGCTCACACTCTATTAAAATAATGCTAAAAATAATAAACTAGTATCATTAAGAACTGTTTCTATATTTTACATAATTGCATGTGCTATATTTTGATAGGATTGGCAACACAGGATTGTTTACAACAAATGCCTTAGTAATGCATCATTCTAAGACACTCTTGATGCCTATGGCACCAGAAGGCAATAGGGATTTTTCAGTTCTATTATAATTTTTTTTCCTGTGGTACTGGGTTGGTACTTGCTAGGTACCTAGGTGCTCTACTGCTTGAGCCACACCTCTAGCTGCCTATTATAATCTTATGAGACCACTTGTATATGCTGTATATTGACTGAGACATCACTATGTGGCTTATGGTTGTACTTGTATTTCTTTTCTTTTACTGTGAGAATCCTGATTCCTAAAACATTTTTTTTTTTGGTTATTTTGAGACAGAGAGGTCTTGCTGTGTAGCCCAGGCTGACTTGTGATCCTCTTGCCTGTGCCTCCTGAGTGCTGGGATTATAATAGGTAGATGTGCCACCATGGCTGTCTATCCTGTTTTTTTGTTTTGTTTTTTTTTTTAATAGCTTGTTAGCTATTCCATTGACCATATATTGAAAGAGGGAAAAGGCAGAGGCAGGGAGACTATTTGGAGGCTCCTGTAGCAGTCCCCATGAGTTATGATGGTAGAATGGATGTATACTCATACACACACACATACATACATGTTTACATATGTATGCACATATATTTTTGAGGCAGAATTTTGATGTGTTGCTCAGGTTGGCTTGAAACTCATGGGATCAAGCAGTCCTCCTGCTTCAGTTTCCTAAATAGCTGGCACTATATGAGCATACTACCCTACCCAGCTTGACACACATAAATTATTTTTTTGAAATAGTTTCAAACCTATAGAAAAGATGTAAGAACAATCCAAAGAATTCTTACATCATGTCCTGCACTCAGATTCCTCAGTTTTTTTTTGGTGATACTGGGGTTTGAACTCAGGGCTTCATGCTTGCTAGACAAGTACTCTACCACTTGAGCCACTCTGTCAGCCCTTTTTTGTGTTGTGTATTTTTGAGGCAGGGTCTTGCAAACTATTTACTTGGGCTGACTTCAAACTTCCATCATCTGAGTAGCTAGGATTACAGGGTGAGCCACTGGTGCCTGGCAGATTCTTCAATTTTTAAATTATGCATTTCCCTGCCTCTTGTGGTGGGGTGGGAAGAGGAGAGAGAGGGGGGGGAGGGAGGGAGGGAGGGAGAGAGAGAGAAGAGAGAGAGAAAGATACCACCTTTAAGAAGACAGTGAAAAAGAGAAGTAAACCATGATTCCAAAGTTACTGGCCTGACTGACTGGAGAATTGAATTATCATGAATTGAGATGAGGACAGAACAGTAGGAAGTTTGGCAAAAGTGATAACAAGCTCAGTTTGGGATGTGCTAAATTTGAAGTACCCTTTAAACAATCAAGAGGAGATGTTCACACTCAGTGTGTATGCATTGACATTATCAGCTAGAGATACATGTTTGGAAATGGCTGGAATCTAGATGCTATTTAAAGTTGTGAGCTCAGTGACACTGCAAAGGGAGTAAAATAGAAAAGCTTATGCTGAGCCTGTGGACAATTTCATGATCCTACTTGATGGTAGGGTCAACCAGTGAGGTGGGAGAAAAACCAAGTGAATGTACTATTTTGGAAGCTAAGAGAAGAAAATGCTTCAATTAACATCAAAGTATCAAGCTGTGTCAGATACTGTTGGTGGGTCATATGATAGGTGAGGACTAAATTTCCATTGAATTTAGCAGGACGGAGGTTATTGACGACATTAATAACCGTTTTATATGTGAAGGAGAGAGCTTGATTATAGCATATTCAAGAATGAATGAGAAGAAAGAAATGAGAGACAGCAGATACAGAAAACTCTTGAAGAGTTTCAGCCTATATATAAGATACATAGCCACAGTCATCTACTTACATGAGTTTTGACTGTGGAGCAAAAAGGTGACCTTTTCTGAGAAATGTATGTGTTACCTTATTACTACCTGTGCTGTTTTTTTGCTGTGTACTATGTTGTTTTAAGTTGGTGAAATATTTTGTCATGAGGCAAGTTAATAATAGACTGGCAGGGTAGTTCATGAACATGTGCTGTGAGGAAATGTTGGAGCCATTTCCGTGGCACAGTAATAGAGAGCACAAAGGAAAACTCTTCACAGCACTTGAAGTTCTCAAAGTGTTAGGGAGAATGGAAGCCTTACAGATTGATGGAAAACAGCCATCTTGGGCCTTGTCTGCACCTTTCTCTCAGAAAGTTTTTAATCTAGATTACTAAAGGATCCTTTCTTGTCCATATTGTCTTGTTTTATAAGGAAACCTCATTCGAAATTGGAATATGCTTTGGTTTGCTGAAATGAATTTAATGGTTTAGATGAGTTAATCTTTTATTGTTCACAAAGAAGTTTTTGCACTCTTAACTTAGGCATGAATGGCAAATATACAGTACGTGTATATTCTCTGTTGTCTTCTCTTGTCATCATTGCTGATCAACCACATTTCTCTCTTTTTGCTGAACACAGATGTATCAACAGAATTCCTATTAGTGATGTTCTAGAAAGTTACCACCAATTATTCACATGAAGTTGGAAAAAAATTTTACATTATTGTAAAAAATTTAAAAATCTCCATTGTAGGGGTTTAGTTTAATAAAATAAAAATTATGTAGAAAGCAACAGATAATTAGAATTCAGCTTTGAATTGCTTGTCATTCATGCTGCTTGAGTTTATTAATGATAGTAATGGCTAATGAGAAATCCTAATAGAGCTGACATAGGGATATAGTGGTTGTTCTTTTGTCAAATCATTGAATTGACAGTTAATATCTTTTCTTTTGTTTAAAGATTCTGTGCTGTTTGCCGAACTTGGTTATATCACAGATACTGATGAGCTGCAATTGGATGCAGCAGATGTGACTGTAAGTATTTACTAGCAGGGAAACACTGCATAATGTGATGTTTAATCTTTACTATAGTTATTACAAGAAAGTTTCAGAACAGTAGATTTAAGCTAGTTTAAATAACTTAGAATTAATTATGAAAGTTAGTAGCCATTTTGTAATCAGTAAATGTAGGGCAATAGAATTGCTTTGGTCTTGGTGTGAGAAGATTTGTTTTCTATGCCTACTTTGACCCCAAGGGTGGTTGAACCTTGGAAAGGTTGCTTAAGCGGTTCACTTCTTGGTTTTTATAGATACTTTGCTGCTTAAGGGGAATGGTGTGATATTGGGTGTGTGTGATTAATGGACCCAGTCAAGCAGAACTTACCAACTTCATTTTTAGTGTAGAAAACTTTGAAAATCAGTTCCATCCTTACTTTATGTCTTTGATTGATTAGGGGTTTGTGTAAAAGCTATTATTGTAACTCTTTGAGCCCTTAAAAATGTCTTAGATTTTTTTTTAAATTAGCACATGGGAAGCTCATTGGCTTATAGAACTCTAATTTATTAGAGTAATTTATCAGTCAGGTTGAATATCACTTATATTTTTAAACTTATCAACTTGAATATAAAAATATATAATGCTTGCTTAGTGACTTTCAAATACTTCTTTTTTTTTCATTTAGAGAATACTTCATTAGTTTCTGTAACCAAACCCACGTAGATAAGACCTTACATATTTAATATATTGCGTTACCCCTGTACAAATGGAAAAAATTAAGTTTAACATTTCTAGACCAATATGGCTGTTAATTTCTGTACAATGCCAACTCAACACAGTAAACTGAGATACTTTTTTCCAAAGTTGACAGCACAGCTAAAGTTTCTAAAAATTCAAATTATGTATATTCACATATACTTATATTAAAAAACAATAGCAGTACGCTATGCATCAGTAGCAGCAAGAGCTTTTCCAGGTTCTGCAGCCATCTGAACAAAATTGTAGAGACCTCCAGCATACTATGTTAAAAAAAAAAAAAGATAAGTAAAAGTGAAAAAAAAAAAACCACAGAAAAATGGCAAAGTTCTGTCACTGTTGTGGTATCTGATATAATTTTTTAAATTAGCTTCTCAGTCATTACCTGCAAAGAAATCCTTCTAGAATAATAAAAACAGTTCTGATAAAGTACAGTCACTATTTCATATCATAGGCAGGTACAAAATATTTTACATCCACAAAGGTAAGATAGAGTACTGCCCTACAGCTATGGAACTGCAAGATACAACTAAAAGGGCATCGTTGGAGACTTGATTCTACTTTTCCAGCAGAGGGTCCAAAGGATGGTGTGACAGTGCTCTATAAAGAGACGCACTTTCTTAGATAGGATTTCTGTCATTAGCAGCATAGTTCTCTCACTCTCTTCACAAACATCAGCTAAAAAACTGTTAAAAAAAATAAAAAGGTCAGGAACCTTCCCCTCCCTCCCCAAACAAACAGATTCCTCACAATTACTGAATTCATAGAAAGATGACCGAATGAAGGCAAGCAGGACTCAATCTAACTAGGGTTTTACCAAATCTATCCTGTTTGAATGGGGAGAGCTCCATGGAAGAGAGATGCCAAGCAGCACTTCAAAGCTTCTGACTACCGTCAAAACACAGCAGTAGCCAAACACTGCTCATTTGGATCTGTTCAAGGATGCTGATGTTAATATTTAATTATCTGCTCACTCAACCAGGAACAAGGGGAAGATCAGTTCCTACTTTACTTTGATTGTGTTCAACGAAGTCACCATGTTACAAAAATAGCAAGCTGCCATAATAAAAAATAAGGCTCCTCTATCCAGCACCAGTTATTGTCAGTTTACTTCCAAGCCTACAGACACTTTCAGCTATTTTTTGAAGAATAATTTAGCAGTTGTTTTACTATAAATTAATAGGAGAGAGTAAAGCCCATGTTGTATTTTTTTCCAGATCAGCTTATGGGATTTTAATAGTTTCAGTGTTTTGTGAGGTACTATAGAATGTGACTTACTGAGTAAATCGAGTTTTCATATTGGCTAGTTGATTAAGTCTAGGTTCTAAAAGAAACAGTTTGTTTCTTTTAAATTGTGTCAAATCTGAAAGATTCCTGCTTTTATAGCTAACATTCTATTACTTTACTCAAGCCACTCAATCTTCCAGTTCCTTAGTTTTGCTATTAAAACATGAAGAAGTTGTATTAAATGATCTCAGAGGGTCCTGGTGTCTTCCTTCTTCCACAGGGTGGGAGAATTTCCCATAAATCATTGAAGAACTAGAGTATTTAAGTGCTAGTGTGATTCACTTTACATAAAATGGGCCTGATAATTCCCAACCAGATGAAATCCCTTTGTTGTAAAAGGTATTTAACTTTTCGACTGAGGACTTAGCGAGAGGCATGCCTGAGGTAGAGCATGGTCACTGTTGAACCCGTTTAAAAGTACTGCAGCACACGGGCAAGCAGCACTGCTAATGTACTTAGACTAAGAATGCTTAGGGATTTGTTGGTTGCGGAAAGTACAGGGCTGCTTAGTTTTTTGATTCAAATAAGAGAAAAAAAGTGAAAGGAAATTGCTTTAAAAAAATGGTTCTTTCATGATTTAAGATTTCTTTTTCAGGTGAACTTCTATACATTTTCTTCCTATACCCTGGAACAGTATTAACTCAGATAAGAGTAGTCTAATAAAACAGTTTCTCTTCTTTCCTTTTGTTACATTCCCAATAAAAATAAACAATATAATAGATATTTCAAAGTGATCATATTGTCCTAGGAGTCTTTACTCCTATTTCCTGCATGGGGAGCAGGAAATATTTCTCCTGTTTTCCCCCATTTCTCCCTACTTTTATCCTGTTATACTAAATTTATTGCCTAATAAACTTTGTTGTCATTGTCATTAAAAAATATTGTCCTAGAAGTTACTAATAAATGGTTAACAATTACCAGATGAATTTTTACTTTTTTGGGGTGGTACTAGGGATTGAACTCATGGCCTTGTGCTTGCTAGGCAAGCAAGCACTCTACCACTTAAGGTAGGGAAAAAAAAATCCTCCAGACTGTTTTGCATTAGGTATTTTGCAGATAGGGTCTTACACTTTTTGCCCTGGCTGGCTCTGGTCCACAATCCTTGTACCTATGTCTCTCGTACAGCTAGTATTATAGGCTTGTACCATCATGTCCATCTTGTTCTTTGAGATAGAGTCTCACTAATTTTTTTGGCGGGGGGGCTGGGCTAGCTTCAAATCTTGATCCTCCTATCTCCTTCCCCCCAAGTAGCTGGGATGACAGGTGCAAGCCACTATGCCGGACCCAAATTTTTATATTTTGACTAAGGCTTATTAACTTTATTGTTGTTGTTTTATTATCTGTATTGACTGGCTTTTTACTTTTTTTTGTTCATTTGTTTTGTTTTTTTTTTGAGACAGGGTCTCCTATGTAGTCCAGGTTAGACTGGAACTCATGATCCCTTCTACCTCAGCCTCCCCAAGTGTTGGAATTACAGGTATGCACCACCATGCCTGGCCTACAGAGCTTTAAATAACTGAATTGATTTATCTCTAGGTTCTCCAAGATGTATTCTGAAGATGAACTTAGACTTGACTTAGAAAATTATTTTTACTAGGTTGGGTAATAGCAGTTTTATTATTTATGCCAAATTGTGTCTGATAGTTTGATTTCACGATGTATGTATTTTATTTTAATTATGCTGATTTAAAACCTACAGGAACATAATTTTGATCGTCTTGATTTTGATTTGGATTTGATGCCTTGGGAATCAGACATTTGGAACATCAATAACCAATTCTGTACAGGTAATTATGTACTTCATTGGTAAAAGCTTTTACCAGATCTATTTATTTTATAGTTTGGCAATACTCAGAAGTAGGTATGGCTATTGGTCTACTTTGGTGGGTTAAAATATCCTACTTCTGGTATGGTAGTACATAAATAAATGTCTTGACAAAATGAAAATAGAGATTTCATGGTTATCTTTCAATAGTGTAATGAACAAGTAGTTCATTCGTATCAGAAGTAGAAATGCTGATTTTGAATTATGAATAATATCTGTGAGAGATTAGTCCTGTATAGGAATCCAACAGGACTTCGGGAATCAAAGACATGAAGTTGGGGTTACCGGAACCTAGGAACTTGGTGGAAGGGTCCCGTGCATTTGTTGTACATGCTTCTGATATTCTGTGCTAATATCTTAAGGGAGCTTGATGAGGTAGAGGTTGCTTGTAGTGACAGAAGCTGGAACCTATGGCAAATTGCCACTGATGGAGTAAAGCTGATAGTTTTACCTTCTAGCATCCTCTAGAATCCCTTATTGACAGCACCTAAAAGGAAGACAGCTTGAAAATATATTAATAATTTGCATCATAGACTATGGGAGGTAGATTAATGCTGAGAGACAATATATAAATAACCAGCACATTCCTTCTTTTAAATTCCTCCCTTCCTATTCCTCTTCATTTTATGTATTATTTATCTTGCTCATTGCCTGCCTTCCCACAGAGAATATGGGACACACAAGGTCCTTATTCTTATTACTGTTGTTTAACTCTAAATCTGAGAAACTTGAAATAACAACCATTTTTTTAGTTTCTCAGAATCTATGGCCTGGATGCCCCAGAAATGTCTTGTCTCTGCTTCTTGATGTCTAGACCTCAACTGGGGGAGATTTGAAGACTAGAGTATCTCAACATTTGGGGGCTGGAATCATCTTGAGGTTTCTTTGTTCATATCTCTGGTGCCTTGTCTGGGACAGCTTAAAGACTAGAGCCACCAGCTGGAGTACCTGCAGTAGGCCTTTCTGTGTGGCTTGATTGTCTCACCATGTGATAGTCCCAGGGTAGACAGACTTCAAAGGCTCCAAGTGCTAGTGTTCCAGCCTTAGATTTCACACGGCCTTATTGTTATACTGTACTGATTGATGGGATCATCAACCTATCTAAATTCAAGGTGGGAGAAATAGATTCTACTTCTTGATAGGGAAGTGGCTTCAGGGATGATGGATATTTTGTGGCTTGGGAAAGCACAGACTGCCACTCCTGCTCTGACATTTGGAAATATTGCCTGGGCTATAGTTCTGAATACATTTTTATAGAATAATCGTTAAAAAGATATGAACAGTTTTGATCGTATTATCAAAAATACTTTCCAAAATAATTCATTCCTGTTTCTGACATTTAAAAATTTTTTTTGGCTCTATATTTTTTTGCTTATAGTATAATATTTAAAATGTACAAAAGTTTTATATGGTAGAAAAATATCTCCTCCTGCTCTTATTCCTCAGCCAATAAGTTTGGCTCCCCAGAGACAACAAACACTGTTAACAATTCCCTCTGTTTACCCTTCTGCAGAATTAGTATAGATGCAAGTAGATAGATAGTATCTTAAACACATATACAATTTATTACACAAATAGAAACATATACCAGTTATACACCAGTTTTTCACTTAGTGATATATTTTGGTGACCTTTCAGCTTTCATGTCTAATTGAATTTCATAAGTAGATTTTTATCTTTCTCATTCATTTTATTCTTAGTTTATATTGTCTGGTGAGAAAAACCTTTACTCTGTGTTTTTCATTTAAAGATATTAAGGCAGAGCCTCAACCTCTTTCTCCAGCTTCCTCAAGTTGTTCGGTCTCATCTCCTCAGTCAGTGGACTCTTGTTCTTCAACTCAGCATGTTCCTGTAAGTAGCCAGTCTTTTACAATGATTTGGGTTATTTTATTTATTTATTTTGTTTGTGGTATGGGTTTTGAACTCAGGGCCTAAACCTTGAGCCACTCCATCAGCCCTTTTTTTGTGATGGGTTTTATTGAGATAGGGTCTCCAAACTATTTGTCTGGGCTGGCTTAGAACCACGATCCTCCTGATCTCTGCTTCCTGAGTAGCTAGGATTACAGGTGTGAGCCACCGGCACTGGCAGTGATTTGGGTTATAATGCTATCTGGAAAATATGATATGGGGAGACAGTTAATATTTATTAAGTGCTATGAGGAGTCTTATTATCTCCTGAGGAAACTGGAACTTGATGCAGGGGCTTGTGGGAGCTAGGAAGTTGTTAGGGTTTTTGTTTTAGCCTCCTTCACCTATTGTTCTTGCCACAGTAGTTTCATTATTTTATTGCATTTTAGCAATATTTAGTATTTTGTTTGTTTTTTGGCTTACTAGTTGTCTCTCTGAATCCCACTCTCCTCCCTATTAAAATAGATATTCTTTAAGGACATAGAAGAATGTAAGATTTTTTTTTCTTTGTGGTACTGTGTTTTGAATTCAGGGCCTCAGGCTTTGCTAGAGAGGTGCTCTACCACTTGAGCCACAACACCAGCCCAAATTGCAAGTTTTTATAACTCCTGAGCCATAGAATCAAGAATGATCTCTTTAATACAGGCGTACCTAGTATTATCTTTTGAATGACTAAGGTGTTACAGAAGTCTGGTGGATCCCAAGAATGCTTTTGCACTCCACCAAGACAAAGACCTTGAGGTCAAGAAAAGGAAGTACCTGATTTAAGTAATGGGGAAAGAAGAAAGTTCAAATTGATATTTCAATGTGTTATATCTGCTATAAATTGAGACACCTTCATTCTGGCAGGTTCTACAGTTAGTCAGCTATTAAATCCTGGTAATTATGTCCACTTAATATCTCTAAGATTCTCTTCTGTCCTGCCAGGCTGTCATCATCTCACTTGGATTAAGCCAATAGAATTTTTAAATTTTTTTGGACTCTAGTGAGGTTTGAGCTCAGGGTCTCATGCTTGCTAGGCAGGTGCTTTACCACTTGAGCTACTCCACCAGCCCTTTGTTGTGTAAGTATTTTTGAGATAGGGTCTTGCAAATTATTTCCCTGGGCTGACTTCGAACTGTGATTCTCCTGATCTTTGCCTCCTGAGTAGCTGGAATTACAGGCATGGGCCACAGGTGCCCAGCAGGCTAATAGGACTTTAACTGTTACACCACCTTCCAACTCCCTGACCTTTCCTAGCAGAGTCATCTTCAAAGAGAAATCTTTCAAAATCACAAACTTGACTGTGTCAGGTCTTAAAAACCTTGAAGGATGAAATTCAAATTCCTAGTGTACTAGGTGCTCCATGACCTGCCTATGCGTACCTTTCCAGTCTTGTTCCTAACGGCCCCTCCTGCTTTTATACTCTGCTTAGCCTGACTCCTGCAAGAGTTCCTCCTGAGAGAGCTCCTGTGTACTCTACTCATTCAGCTGTGTCAGGCACTGTTCCAGCCTTTAGGGAACCAAGTGTAGGGAGACTCTGCTCTTATAGTATTAAAATTTTATGCATCCTTTTTTCTTTTTTGTTCTCCTGGAAAACTCATCCTTTAAGTTCCAGAAAATTACTTCCTTTGTGAAGCTCTTCTATAATTGCTACTATCAGAAGTTTTCTGTGGTCCCCAAATTTCTCCAAATGATTTAATATTTTAAAAATTAACTTTTGAATTCAGAGTATATGACAAGGTATATTCATAAAAGCCTTTTTTTTTTTTTTAAATCTTTGTTCTTTCTCTCCTTTCTTACAAAAAAGTTAGCTTGGTCAGATGTTGTAGTGCATATCATCCCAGCTACTCAGGAGGTGAAGGCAGGAGGATCTGGGGAAAAGGCAGCAAGAGTCTATCTCAAAAAGGACTAGGGGTGTGGCTCAAGTGATAGAATGCTTGCCTAGCAAGCTTGAGGCCTGGGTTCAATACCCAGCACTGCAAGAACAAAACAGAAACTTAGCTTACTATGTACTCTACTATATACTTTGTCTGATATAGTGCTTTTTTTTAATTAGCAGAATAACCGTAACTTTAGGGTGTATATTTTCTCTAGTCCTTTTCACGACTGCATAATATTTCATTGTGTGTATATATTATACTCCATTCAGTGTTTTTGTTGTTGTTTTTAGTCTTTTCCAGACTAATAATACTATAGTAAATAAGCTAGTTTGTAAGTCACTTCATATTTTTGCCAGGATATTTTTAGAATCTAGTCCAAAAAATAAGATATCTGAGACCTGCATAAATACATTTGTAATTTTGCTAGATATTATCAAATTTCTCTTTATTGAGATTAAATAATTTTGCATTCTCGGATATAGGATGGCATGCTTTCCCTCATCGCTTCATAGGGTATTTTATTTGGTGTATCTTTTATTACAAGTGTGGTTGAATATCTGTTCATATGCTTCATATGCTGAAGGCCTATTTGTGTTTTTTAAATGAACTATAAGTTCACATTTTTGCCCATTTTTTTCCTGTGGATTGTGGGTTTCTTTTTTTCCTCAAAATCTTAGGTTTTTAATTATATGTTGGGTTATTCATCCTTAGTTTGTAATATAAATGGCAAATATTTTTCCCCAATTTGCCTTTCAGATTTATTTCCCCCAGGTATATATTTTTCTATAGCTAATTTATCAATTTTTTTTTCTTCCCTCTCTCCCTCCCTCTCTTTCTCTCTCCCTCCTTCCCTCCTTTCTTTCCTTCTTTTCTTTTTTCTTTTGTTGTCTAGGCTCCCTTGAACTCCTGGGTTCAAGTGATCACTTTGCTTCTCAGCTTCCCGAGTAGCTGGGACTATAGCACAAACCATTGTATCTGGCTTTGGTCTTTTCCTTTATCTCTTCCTCTCCTTCTTCTCTTTTGTCTCTCAAAAGAGGTTCTTCATCAGGTTACAAAAAAATCACTCATGTTTTAATTCTTGTTTTCTTGCTTAAATTAATTTCGTTTGGAATAATCTTAAATTTATAGAAATGCTGCAAGTACATTACAAAGATTTGCTTCCCCCCTACCCTACCATTGGAGAGTAAGTTGCTAATGTGATGTCCTAATACCCCAAATACTTTTGTTGGTACTGGAGTTTGAACTCAGGGCCTTGCATTTGCTAGGCAAGTGCTCTGCCACTTAAGCAATGCCTATCTCCTTCCTACAAACAAGGATATTTTTTATGTAACAACAACACAGGCATCAAGATCAGGAAAAAATACTGACATGTTATTATCATCTAATCTTAGCTCTCATTTAGATTGTATCAGATGTCCCAGTGTTGTCCTTCAGACCAGGAAAAGGATTCACTTCTGATTTCTGCATTAGTCAGGCACTCTACCGCTTGATCCATGCCCCTAGCCTTTTTTTGCTTTAGTTATTTTTCAAATAGGGTCTTGCATTTTTGTCAGGGGCCAGACTCAAGACTGTAGTCCTCCTACCTACGGCCTCCTGTATGGTTGGGGTCATCGGCACATGCCATCATGCCTGGCTTATTGGTTTAGATGAGATCTTGTTAACATTTTGCTTGGGGTGGCCTTCAGCTATGATGCTCCTGATTTCCACCTCCAGAGTAGTTGGGATTACAGGTGTGTACCATTGCATTTCTTTTTTTGGTGGTACTGAGGCTTGAATTCAGGGCTTCAAACTTGGTGGGCAGGTGCTGTACCACTTGAGTCACTCTGCCATCCCCTCATTTACATTTCATGACACAATTTAAGTTTGTCCTATTACTGATGATGTTCACTTAAAACTATGTAAAGATAGTATTTGTCATTAAGCTTTATATTTATTCACTAATATTAGTATGAATTCATTTTTTCCTATTTTATTTAACAGGCTTTGGCTCATTACTATGATTATTTATTTTGATTCTTTTATTTTCCTATATTTGCCCAGTGGGAATTCCTTTTTGGGTCCTATTTTTTTTGGCAGTCGTAGGATTTGAACTCAGTGCTTTGTGCTTGCTAGTCAGGAGTTCTACCACTTGAGCTATATCCCCAGCCCTTTTTGCTTTAGTTATGTTTTGAATAGGGTCTCATGTTTATGCCCAGGCTGGCCTTGACCTTGATCCTCCTATTTGTGCTTCCCATTTAGCTGGGCTGACAGGGATGGCAACACTATGCCCAGCTGTTTATTTGTTGAAATGAAGGTCTTGTAAACTTTTTGCTCAGGTTGGCCTCAAACTACCAATCCTGGGATTACAGGGGTTGCACCATCATGTCCAGCCCTGTAGTTTTTCTTTATATAGGTTCTGCATATTCTTTAGAAAATTCCTAGGTATTTTATTATTATTATGTAATGTGTTATTACATATTATGTAATATATTATTGCTATTATGAGTGAAATACTTTATTATATTTTCTAAGTGAATACTAACATATAATTATTAAGGTCAAAACATTTTTTGGGGTGGTACTGGGGTTAGAACTCAAGGCTTTACACTTGCTAGGCAGCAAGTGTCTACCGCTTGAGCTACAGTTTCTAGCCCTTTTTTTGCTCTGGTCATTTTGGAGATAGTCTCCTTTTGCCCATGCTGGCTGGGACCACAATCCCACTTTATTCTTCCTGCTGTAGCTAGGAGGGATGCCTTGTTTTCTGTAATGAGAGGGGTCTCATGAACTTTTGACTAGACTGGCCTCTCACCACAGTCTTCCCCATCTCCACCTCCCAAGTACCGGCGTGAGCTACTGGCATCTGGCTTCATAATCAGATATTCCTATTCTGTTACCATATAGTCATATTTTTCTCTCTGAATTGAAGTACTATTTGTCACCTATGCTAAGTTTCTTTAGTCTAGCAAAGTAAGACAGAGCCACTGAATATTAAAAAAATTGGACAGGGCTGGTGGAGTGGCTCAGGTGTGGTAGAGTGCCTGCCTGGCAAATGTGAGATCCGGGGTTGAAACTCCAGTACCAGCAAAAAAATACCAAAAACCAAAACAAAAAACCCTTAATGTTGTCTTCCTATATCTCTGTATTATCAATTTACCTAATAAGTTAAATTGTCCTGTTTCTTTTAGTATTCATCTGTTTTTCAAAAATATTTGGGACAATGCAGTGTTAGTAAATAGAAAAGCATAAAAATAGTAAGAATTATTTTGCTTTTGAGATTTTTTTAAGGCTTACTAAAAGATTATGGGAAAAGATACTGGTGTTTTAACTATAGTCTTATGAACTAAATGTTTGTATGATGAGAACCAAGTATGATAGAAAGTTTGTAGAGCAAATCATTCACATTTTTAATATGAGAGGATGGTGTAGACATGCTTCACACTTTGACTTAGTCTGCCTTTGGGACTGATGGATAATCTTGATTTTTCCATAGTCACTTTAGTACTTAATACATAGATAAAATTTCTAATATGTTTCATCTTTGCCTTGAAGTATTTTTTTGTATCTGTATGGATCTTGCCTCTGTTTCTAAGCATTTTTCTTGCTGAAGGATTGTTCTCTTCTGCATTAATTTGTCTGTGTTTTTGTCTTGCTATAGGAGGAGCTGGATTTGTCTTCTAGTTCCCAGATGTCTCCCCTTTCCTTATATGGTGAAAGCTGTAATAGTCCCTCTTCAACAGAGCCACTGAAGGAAGATAAGCCAATCATTGGTCCTAGGAACAAAACTGGTATTTCTCTATCTCCTCATTTCTGTTTTAGTCTGAGTTTAAGTTCAATTTCTGAAAAGAAAATGTTGGATTAAGCATACTGTTATTTAACTGCCTTCTTGTTTTTAAATTAGTAGCCCTATATTTTTTGTTATGGATGATTAATGTGCAGAAGAAAGGGAAAAATAATCTTCTTTGATTGTTTCTGTCTTTATATTTTTATAGGTGGAAAATACTTTAACATAGAATTAGACTCACCAGGCACTGGTGGTTACATCTGTAATCCTAGCTTCTTGGGAGGCAGAGATCAGGAGGATAACAGTTTGAAGCCAGCCCCAGGCAAATAGTTCAAGAGATCCCACCTCAAAAATTCTCAACACAAAAAAGGGCTTGTGGAGTGGCTCAAGTGGTGCCTGCCAAGCAAGTATGAGGCTCTGAGTTTAGGCACCAGTACTGCCTCCCACCTCCACAAGAAAAATAAAAGAATTAGGCTCCATCATGTTCAGGAGAGATTTTAAAGTTTCAGTTAAAGACACTGAATGTGATGTGCTGCGTGTTACCACATTGATGCCTAGTCTTTGTTTAGTGGTTTTAGCTGTTACCCTTTACCAGGCCACCTGTCCCCTTTCAGAAACTATGGTTTGGTCAAAAAGGAAGATCCTAGATTAAGGGGTTTTTCTTCAGTCTCCTTGGGTATAGAATAGCTATTTTTAAATTCCAGCTGAAGAAGATAGTTACTCAGAAATCTATAGACAATATGTACCTAAAAAGTGTGTAATATAATCTGTTTTCTAGGGTTTACTTAATTCCCTTCAGACCCCCCCCCCCCCCCCCTCCCCCCCCCCCCCCCCCCCCCCCCCCCCCCCCCCCCCCCCCCCCCCCCCCCCCCCCCCCCCCCCCCCCCCCCCCCCCCCCCCCCCCCCCCCCCCCCCCCCCCCCCCCCCCCCCCCCCCCCCCCCCCCCCCCCCCCCCCCCCCCCCCCCCCCCCCCCCCCCCCCCCCCCCCCCCCCCCCCCCCCCCCCCCCCCCCCCCCCCCCCCCCCCCCCCCCCCCCCCCCCCCCCCCCCCCCCCCCCCCCCCCCCCCCCCCCCCCCCCCCCCCCCCCCCCCCCCCCCCCCCCCCCCCCCCCCCCCCCCCCCCCCCCCCCCCCCCCCCCCCCCCCCCCCCCCCCCCCCCCCCCCCCCCCCCCCCCCCCCCCCCCCCCCCCCCCCCCCCCCCCCCCCCCCCCCCCCCATCCACTCTTCTTCCTGATTTTGTTGAAGAGAAGGCATAAGAGATAATAAGAAAGATGTATCATTTTTGCTAGTTTGGGATAAAGATAGCTATACAGAGAGATTCCTAGCCAGAACCTGGCTGTTAATCTCTGAGGAGACTGCATAATTTAGTAAACAGGGTATTAAATTGGACATTTTGAGGAGAGACCTGAGCTCTGTCAACTTCCTAAGAAATCTGTTTGTTTCCATGTTTTATCCACCAGATGGCCTCATATACTTATGATTGTACAAGAAATCTAGAAAGAAGTTCAAGTTCAAGAATTTGGTACTATTCAGATATGGCAGTCATTTGTTCTTGGAGATCTCTTAGGCAGCTTAGTCATCATTTTATTCATTCTGACACACGAATATAAGAAAACTTGTACAGCATGTTTTTCTCGTATTTAGCTTGTTGGCACCAAGCGGCATTGGGTGTTAATGGTGTATAGGTTTTAAATAAACACTAGTGTAACATTTGCTTTTATGGCCATATTTACAGTGTGATTATTTAGCTCATTTCCTTGGAGTATGTTTTTAATGAGGCAAGGTTACAAATTTGATCTCCTCTTTTAGTTTTTTTTCTATTATATGGTCATAGACAATAGCACATTGATAAAAAGAACTAAATAAAAGAATGGATGGATCAATGAAAAATCTATCAATAAATTCCTACTAAAAACAAAACAAAACAAAAGTCAAAAAACAAAACCCCAAGCAAATCAAAATAAAACATTTGGATTGCTTGCCCTGTGATTACCATGTTAAAAGCGCTGCAGTTTTGTGTGTATAATAGTGATCCTTTAAAGTAGGCATTCTTGTTATCTCTAAATGGGAGTTAAGTGTTAATGAAATTCTTAAAATGAAATCTAAGATTTAATGTATGTTCTTATATGATTTTTTTTCTGGGGGTAGTCTCAAAACTTTCATCAGGCTCTTGAAAGGATCTGTGTCTTTCCAATAGCTAAGAATGTAAACTCACAAAGAATCTCATTAGAGTTCCCATAAGCTATGAAAACTATTATATAAAAAGCAAAAATAAGACATTAATCTTATAAAATATAAATGAGGGATATTCTTAAGAGTTTTTTCTTAGACTCTTGGCTATGTTTGAGTGGTAGGAGATCTTTACATATAATAAGAAGACAAATTGTTCTTTTCCGAGCCATTTATTATTTCTTGAAATCCGAATCACACATTATTCTGAAATTCAGTGACTTTCCATGATGTGAAGACTATGTTTAGTTTTTGTGAGCATGCACTAATATGAGGCCCTAAAAATTATTTGTTTTATGAGATACTCTAGATAGGTAGTATTGTTATACAGATTTACATATGTGTTTTTCATTTATTTGAGAATGGGGTGGGAGGAAGAATGAAAATAAAGCCAAGGAATTTTATACTTAATCAATGTCAGTATTAGTAGTATTTTACCACTGGGGAGGGGGAAGATAATTCTTGCAAAATTAAGTTCAAATTCTCTAGTGAGAATGTAAAAGTCTTCATAATTTACTCCAGTTTAGTTTTCTAACTTACATTACAATATCACTTCTTGCCATAAACCCTTCCTTCTAGCTCAACTAATCTGGCATTGTTCCTTGAATTCTCTTGCTTTTCCTAGTTGCTTGGCTCACATTCTACCAACCTGGAACATTTCCTGTCTTTTTCTGCTTCTAAGTCCAATATGTCCTTTAGGATTGATATGAGCAGTGCAGTGAGACATGATAAAAGTGTGGAAAATCAGTGAAAATGGAGAAGTAGGATAGAGAGTGGAGATATGAAAAAGTGTAGAATCATAGGGCTTGGTAATTGGATGGTGTATAAGGAAGTTTAGAGAGGAGGTATCTTGGATGACTTCTACATTTCTGTCTTGGGGTCTTTAGATCATTGCAAATCATTGAACTAGGGGATAGAGGTAAAGTAACTTCTCTTAGGAAGAACTGGAGCCAGAAGTTGAGCCCAGATAATCTGACTGAGTCTTTGTATTAGATATAATATAATCATTATATTTTATTGCTTCGAAAAGAATGTGGTCTTGTTCTCAAGAATTCTAAACTTTAATTAGGTAGTTAAATTTATATAAATAACAGTCACTATAAGAATTAATGAATCAATATTATATGCAATGCCTTTATAAAAGCTATTATACAGAAAAGGTGTTAATAATTAACAGTTTTATAAGGTCTTATTATATTCTAGACACTCTTCTAAGTGTTTAAATGTATTATCTTTTTTTTTTTTTTTTTGGTGGAACTAGGGTTTGAATTCAGTGCTTCACACTTGCAAAGCAGGTACTCTACCAATTGAGCCACATCTCTAGTCCATTTTGCTCTGATTACTTTGAGGATGCGGGTCTCACAAACTATTTGTCTGGACTGGCCTTGAACCAGGATCCTCCTGATCTCAGCCTCCAAGTATCTAGGATTATAGGTGTGAGCCACTGGCATCTGGCTTTTTTTTTTTTTTTTTTTTTTGTGGATACAGGATCTCATTATGTAGCCTAGGGTAGCCTCAAATTCATGATCCTCCTCCCTCAGCTTCCTGAGTGCTTGGATTATAGGCATGTCCCAGCACACCTGACTTACTTTATTTAGTCCATATATCTCTGAGGATAGATGTCAATATTTCCATTTTGTCAGTGACAAAACTAGGCACAAAGAAATTATTTGCCCCACATTGTACAGGTATACTGTTTTAGACAAAGTAGGCATTTAATAAATGTTTGCTACTTACTTTGAAATCTTTAAAAAAGTTGAAAAAAAGAATTGACCATTGAAATTAGTGAGTCATACATAGTCAGAAGTATTTAGTACTGACTCCAGCTGCCTTCCATTAAGGGTTTGCATGTAATGCCAAGGAGGATTTTGAGCATGCTGAAATGGATAAACAGCCTTTTGGTATGTTCTGTTTTATCTGTTTCCACACTAGGAACAGTAGTAACTATGTTCAGCTGCTAACTGTTTAAGGCCCCAAACAGTCCTTTGCATTGTAGTTTGTGGTCTGGTGAGCATTTGAAAAGGCATCACGAGAGCTTTTTATTCTTGAACAGATTGTAATAAAAATTTAGTTGTTTCCCTCAATTCTGTCTTGAACTGGAATGTGCCTAGAATATTTAGACAATCCTTGATTTAGATGCTGAGGATATCTGAACACTTGGGGAGGAAAGGGCTTTATGTGCAGTATAGGAAAAAAGGAGGCAGCCATGGCCCAGTAGGACTTGAGCCACATTTGGTGCAGTCTTTGCCTTGGTGATTCTCCATCTCCTCTTCATGATGCAGTTTTCTTGGTAAGGGGGTGGTGATATTTAGGCAGTTGAAAGTACAGATTTGGATTATTTTTCTTAATTGGTTTTAAGAAATATTACAAAACTATCTATATGTGTTATATGCCAGTATTTTAAATCTGTAGCTGGAGCTAGAAGTCTAATTCTTTCTTTGAAGTGATTAATTCTGTTTACTATCTCCTCTGTTCTTAATGGTCTCAGAATTTTGAATGGTGTTTAATTTGGAGGGAGAATCTTTTTTTATCATAACTTTCAAACTTGGAGGATATGGAACATTGCTTCCTATAGGGCTCTTCTTAGAGTATTAATTTAAAAATTAAATCAGTGGTTCTGAGACTGTAGACTGTGGACCCTGGAGTATGGGTGAGGGGAGTAGTAGTTATATGGCATTTTACAAGGAATCCTCAAATCTGTATTTGGAGCAAGCATTTTCTGTAGACCAAATAGTTTGTTTCATTTATCTTTGTACAGCTGCTTTCCAATTTTTATAGCTGTACTTCTGGTTAATAAACACAAATTTATTTATTTATTTTGGCCAACATGTATTGAGTTTATTTCATCATTGAGGTCTCCTCTTGACCAGACACCCAAAAGGTTATAGAAAAAAAGGTAACTTAATTCCAATGGGAGAATACATCCTGAAGCTTTGAAGACTCTCTTTGGCATTTTAAAAGACTAAGTGTGATCCATCTTGTAAAAATAGTCATTCTACCACTTTACATATATAAAACACTGCACATTGTTCTATGTCTCAGCAGTTGCTTGCAACTATGGGGCAGAATGATCCCCATTGGCTGGAACCCAACAATCGAGATTCCCCAGCAATCGGGGCAGTCCTACCTGGCATTGCCATACAGGGTGTCACCATAAGATGACATCCAGGATCAACCATGCTTCTGGTGGCCTTGTTTAATCTACAGTTGTGAGCATATTATACTATGCATTTAGCAATAAAAATTTACATATTAGCTTAAGAGAACCCAAGGAGAGAATAAACAATTATTGCATTTTTTTGTCCTTCCCAGAGATAAAGATAAATTTATTTTAAATCATTACTAATTCTCAGTAGCTTTTACTCATTGTGTATTTTCTCAGTCCATAGAAACCAAAAGAACTACCATGATCATTTTGCCTTTTTTTTTTTTTGAGACGACAGGCTCTTGATACCCAGCTTAGGTTAACGTGGTTGGAAGTCCCAGTGTAGCCTGTGCTGGCTCATGATGCTCCTTTCTCTGTCTCATAAGTGCTGGGGTCATAGGCATGTGCCATCACAACTGGCATGTGATATTTTTGGTATTAAAGAAGAGTACTGGGCCTAGTGCGGTGGTGGCTGTCTGTACTCCCAGTTACTTGGGAGGTGAAGGAAGGAGGATTGTGATCGGAGGTTTGCTCTGGCAATAGCATAAGAAAAATAAAGTAAAACAAACGGGGCATGCTTCAAATGGTAGAGTACTTGCCACACATGAGGCCCTGTTCAAACCCCAGGACTGCAAATAAAAGAGAAAAAGAAAGAGTGCTTATATTCAGGGTTTGGGGTTAGGAATCATGGCTTCAGTTTTACACTGTGAGCATGTCCTTTTATAGTGCCCAGTTGACTGAAGACCCAAGCCTTGGTCGTACATTGTTTACTTTGTGTATTCATTTTAATTATTTTTGTTTGCAGAATTGGCCTAATCATATTTTCACCTATGTATAGCCAATTCTCCATTTTATATGTGTTTATTTCATAATAGAAGTTAGTACAAGGGCAGATGAAAAGATCAAAAATGTTTAGTGATTATTTATGCCCAAGTAAATTTAATGCATTTCCAAATCAGTGAAATTATTTTTGTCTTAAAATTTTATTAAAATTATTTTGTTAGCATAACTTAATTGTACAAAGGGGTGTCATTATGATATTTACATATATGCATTATAATGTACTTTGATCAAATTTATCCCATCTATATTACTCTTTCTAAACTATTACCCTCACTTCCCCCCTTTTTAATAGTTTTTAGTGGGTTTCATTATGCTATTTTCATACATAAATATATAATATACTTAGATCATATTTGCCTCCCATCACTCACTCCTATCCCCTTCCTCCCTCCATCTGGTTTCCCTCCCAAGCAGTCTCTTTTTTACAATCATGTCATATTATTATTGTTATTTTTAGGTCTAGATTCCGAGTATGAGTGGAAACCAATATTGTACATATTTGTCTTTGTAAGCTTGGCTTATTTCATTTGACATGATGATCCCCAGTTCCATCCATTTTCCTGCAAATGACATAGTTTCATTCTTGCTGGATGATACTCCACTGGGTATATGTGCACCATATTTCTTTATCCATTCATTGATTGTCGAGTACCTAAGCTGATTCCATAGCTTGACTATTGTGAACAATGCTGCTATGAACATGGGTGTGAAGTTATCTCTATTGCATGCTGATTTACATTCCTTATGAAATAATTTTTAGATCTTTTTTCTTACTAATTTATAAATGGTGTTAATTGAATTGGGATAAAATGCTATTAATTGCATTCTACTTTTAGTGTGTTTTTTGAGGGCATCTGAAACAAAGACTGATTTTATAAAAGTGATATTTTTCACCCAAGACAGATGTTCTCAACAAACAGGTGTTCTAAAGCTTTACTTTGAATTTTAGTTTCTTCTTTGATTTTTAGTTCCTTCTGATCCTTTGAAATACCACACTGAGTTTTACAAGAGTCATATTAAGTTGCCTGAAAGTATAATGCTTTTTTTCTCTTAAAGAAGAATTATAAATTTATATATGGAATTTTAGTTCCTGGTTACTATAGTATCTTTCTTTTGCTAGGTAGGGCCAAGCAACTGTGGATATTAGATGAGGCTTTCAACACCTTATAAGATTGGCCAGATCTGAAAGGAAACACTTAGTAGCCCCCAGTAAAATTTCTAATAGGTTAGTGTTATGAGTTGTATGTCTTTTTTAGTTCTCAGCATGTTTAAAATAATGATAAATGTGAAGACTAAGAGAAGATTTGAAGGCCATTTTTTGACAGGGGTGGAAGTGTTGGTATTATCTACAGACTATTTTAAATTACAGGTTTATGTTTAGCTTGTTAGCTAAGAATTCATCTCAAATTGTTTTATATTTTTTCTTATTTAAAGTAGTCCTTTGTTCTTCCATTATTGAGTTACTGACTTTTTCTTCATATGTTTGTATGTATATATTTGTAAATTCTATTAAATTCAAAATATATGTTGTTTATAACATAATAAATATCAGAGGTTAATACTTAATCTACACATAATAGCAAATTTGATATATGTGTAGTTGAAAAGATAAATATGGTAATATATCTGTATATAGCTATATATTCTTTAGAAAGGGTCTTGCCCTGTTGCATAGACTGGTCTTGAACTCCTGGGTTCAAGTGATCCTCCTCCCTCAGTCTCCAGAATGCTGAGACTACAGGTATGTCTCACCATGCCTGGCTTGGAAATAAATTGTTAACAATTAACAATAACTCAGAAAAAATGAACTTAGTTGTTCCCATTAAAAATACAACAGCAAGCTGGGTGCCAGTGGCTCACGCCTGTAGCTACTCAGAGGGCAGAGATCAAGGGAATTGTGGTTCAAAGCCAGCCTGGGCAAATAGTTCACGAGATCCTATCTCGAAAAAACCCATCATAAAAAAGTGCTGGTGGAGTGACTCAAGGTGTAGGCCTGAATTTAATCCCCAGAACCACAAAACAAAACAATACACAACAGTAGAGTTACCATGAGTGTATGCTACTGTTGGTCATGTTCAATTTGATGGTGGGAAATCCCTCAGGATTGATTACATCTGCAGGAGAGACCTAAATGTTAGACTGCTTCCCTGCCACAATAGTTACTCATCCTCTCATTTCTTTTCTTTTTTCTAAATGCAGGTCAGACAGTTTTGCTCTCTCAGCCTACTGTGGTACAACTCCAGGCCCCTGCAGTTCTGCCCTCTGCTCAGCCCATCCTTACTGTTGCGGGGGGAGCCACACAGATACCTAATCATGTGGTGAATGTGGTCCCAGCCCCTGTGGTGAATAGCCCAGGGAATGGAAAACTTTCCGTGGCGAAACCTGTCCTGCAAAACACCACAAGAAGTGTGGGTTCAGATGTAAGTTTGAAACTTAGTACTTTTTTAGTGCTTGATTTTGAAAAAAACAAAATTAAACAAAATCCTTTTGCTCTTGTTGCCTTGTTTATTTTTTAAAGTTTATTTTGTTGCATGAAATAAAAGAATATGCTAAAATTGTGCATCCAGTCTTTGGTGGAAAATTAGGGTAAGGCTTATTATGTTAGAATCTAAGTAAAAACGTTTTTGAAAGTCTGAAGTACTTTGATGAAAAGTGAAGTATTCATACTCCCTCTTCTTTCCTCCTTTTTTAGAACCCTTTCATCACATTCTTTAAGCTCCCCAATCATCTACTAATATTTTACAGATTCTTTCATATCTTTTGATTGAAAAAAAATTTTTTTTTTTTTTTTAGCAACTTCCTAGATAACTGTCTGTAGACTTCTTTTTTTGGGCAGGTTTTATATTTTAGGTCTCTCTTGGCTTTGAGAAGGGTTTTCAGCACTGCGTATTGATGACTTACTACTCAGGAATTCTGTCTCTTGATTATTTGGAATTTGCCCATCTTTGCAAACCTTCAAATTTTTGAGCATGTTGTAGGGATTTCTTGTAACTTGTAAATCACAGAGTTTCTTAAGATCTGCCACTCCCTAAAGCCAGTTACATTTGCCAGCTAACTCTTGTTTTCTCTCAGAGTTATTAGAAGTATCTCATGTTATGTATTCAATAGTAATTAGACATCAAGGTCCTAAAATTTAATCAAAGTTAAAAGTAAAATAATCAGTCTAACAGTGAATTCTCCAAACTTACAGTTGGGAAAGCAAGGTTTATATGTTTTCTTTAAAATAAAAATAGATGTTACTAGTTTTTAGTGTTGCTGCTCCATCCTTTCTGTAAGTAAAGTACTATTGCAAAGTGTTTCAAAATCCAATGAGTTATACAGAGTTATTAATCAGACTACTCTCTGGTCTGCATGCCAGAATTTATTAACCAGCGTGTCAGTGACTGACCCACTTATTTGTGAATTTGTTCTGCTATTGCATAAGCACAACCAAATAATCTCAGTTGGCAATCTTGTAAAATCTTGTAACAAAGAAATATTATGGAGTGTGAATAGAGCATACAAGTTCTAGAATAAGAGTCCCATAGTTTGTATAGGTATGGAAAACAGTGCATATCAAGACATGCAGTAAGAGGATGAGAATAAGAAACTCTCATTGAGTTGCATGAGAATAGAGGACATGGAGTATAGAATTAGACTTGACTGTTTTGTCAGTTTACTTTCAGAACTAGAAGAGGTAAGCACAGTGCTTATGGCATATGAGGTACTGTATTAGTTAGTTTTTCATTGCTGTGACAAATACCTGAAAGAAACAGTTTAAAGAACAAAATATTTATTTTGACTTATGGCTTTATTAGGTTCAATCCACGTGGCAGATGGCATGGCTGTGCAGAGTAGCTCACATCATGGCAGTCAGGAATCAGAGAAAATGCCTGGGCTAACAGGCTTTTACCTTTTTCTGCTTTTATTCCATCTGGCTCCCAAGCCTATGAGATGGTGCCACCTATGTTCAGGGCAGGTCTTCCTTAGTTAATCCTCCCTGAACACATCCTTGTAGATACATCCAGAGGTGTTTTGCTCATCTCCTAGGTCGTTCTCAATTAGTCAAGTTGGCAATCAACATTACCCATCATAAGCACTAATGTTTCAGTTGAAGATGAAATAGTGTGATGCTGGAATTTGTTTTTAACATACTTTGTAGGCACGTGGTGAGTACAGGGTAGAGGAAATAAGATTATAAAAATGTTGATAGTCATGGAAGGTGGGCGTTTAATCCTTTTGGTGCACAAGAAATTTCTACAATAGGTAAAATAATGGCAATAAGAAAAATCCAGAACTATTACATGATATTTTCAAGGAAAAAGTTACGTAATCAAGAAGAAAATACATTTTTCTTAAGAGACTGAGAAGGATAAGAATGATAAAAGAGGATTTAAAAAAAATTAAGTTTCTTAAAATATCTTTGGAATACTCTTTAAATTATGAACTTGAATGTTTATTGTGTAATAATCCAAATGAAATTGACATGAAGTTGCTTTTATGTAATATGTTGGAACATTAAAAATATTTTTATGAAATATTTTACACACAAAACATAAAGACCATTTAGAATTTTTCAATTATTTGGGTCAACAGTATGCCACAGTTGTTAAAAATATTAATGTAATCTAAGTGTATTTACAAAATTATAGCATCCTAATCATAGAGAAATCCAGAGGAGCATAGCTAGGATAGGGAGGGTATCTAGAAGCCATGTCATAGGTGTAGGAGTGGTTTATCAATTGGAATGATTTAATGAACTGAAGAAGAGAAGGTTGAAAGTAGATCTAGGAACCATCTTCTAGGAAATGAGCGTTGTCATGTGGAAAGTGAGAGAATTGCTCTGAGTTATTCTAAAGCACTTATCTGGAACAGGTACAGACTTTTTATATAACCATTGTATTTAGAAATGAGGGGAGGTCTTTTTTCTTCCTTTTTTTAGATTTAAATAATGAGCATCTGAATGTTGGCAATCTTCATTATATGCTACCAACCCATTGTGTAATCTTGAAACATATTTCAATTAATTATATGTTGGTCTGTTAGCCAACATGTAATTCTTTGATGTAAAAGAAAATATGTGTTCTGCTTTTGCATTCATAATAGGGTTCTGAAAATTGTTGAGTAATTTGCTGACAAAGTCTCAGTTAACACTGAGGAACTGGGGGATGTATGAGATAAGAAAGTACAGTACTAGTAAGTATTAGGTTTTTGTATTTAGTAGTTTTATTGTATAGTCATCTTACTACTTTTCAAATTTTAGAATTGACAGTATTATAAAGGAAAGATTCAAGTACTCTATGTTTAATGCAAGAGACCTAAGGACTATTACTTTAATTTTCTAGTCAACCTGCATTGAGGTTTTTGTGCTTATTTTTACTTGGCCAGCACAGCAGGAAGTGAGCCAAGCCTTTTCAGTGTGAATTTTTTTGGTAGAGGTTTTGATTGACTATTTATTTCAAATAAAGAAGTATCAATTTGTCCTATCAGTTCACCAACTCACTTAGGACCCAAAGTAAATCTGTTCCGGAAGGAGCTACAGAAGAGAACTTTGATTTGCTCATATAGTCTTGTATATTAGTAACTTGGTTGACCTCAATGGTAAATCTTGTTTGTTAGACTCAAGTCTTGTTAAATTAGGATAAATTTGAATTAATATTCATTCCTAATTCAAAATGGCCCAAAGAAATTTTTATCATGTACTTTTTGTGCTTTTAAATCAAAGCACAAAAGAGAAGTTGTAATTCAGGAAAAAAAAAATCAATCTTATGTGGCTTTATAATGCTGACATGGCTACTTTTTTCCTACCCTTTTTTTTTTTTTTCAGTTCTTTTGTCTGGCTGGTTTCACTCTCTTGAGGCCTGCTACTGCCATAAGTAGCGTTTTTAGCATACCATATTCTGCAAACTGCATTAAGTGCCACATTTTCTGTTATGAAACAGTTTGCCTGGTTCAAATTATAATTTCTTTCTTCCTGCCTTTTGCTAGTAAATCTGTTTTGTTTAACTCTTAGAAACCTCACCTAAGTTTTGAAGAAATGGGGTTTGTTTTTGGCTCTTCTCCTGATGGAATAAATGAACCTGGTCTCTGATTTCAGTGTAGAAATTTTCTATGCAGTTTGTTAATAAGTGGCAATCTCAGAACTACAAAGTTGACTTCATAGGAGAGCATGCTTATCTTTCTTTAAAGGGCAATTGAATGTTTCCAGATGTCAAACCAAGGGCTTGAAAAACAAGCAGTCTGCTTAAATCTGCATTGTACTTATTACTCCCAGATACCCATCCTAAAAGTTTATGAACTATTACTGCTCTGGTTTTAAGATTTGGGGATTATGTTGTTTGGGTTACTGGGATAAAAACCTTTGCTGCATATTTCACAGTGGGCCAGGATGCAGCAAAGATTCTTAATGGAAATCAATACAGTGAAATAATGAAAATGATCAGGAATTAGTACAGAACTAGAAATAACCTCACATGGGAGGGTTGGTTAAGAGGTAAAGCCTAAGCCAGTGAGGTGGTACATGGCTGTAATCCCAGTACTCTGGAGGCTGAGGCAGGAGGATTGAGAGTTCAAGGGCAGCGTTGGCTACATAGGGAGACCCTGTCTCAAACACACATACATACACACAGACACACAAGTACAGACAGTATTTCCTGGAGGCCCTGGGTACTCCTTCCTGCCTGCCCATTCACTCCATTGAAGATCTTCCAAATCCTTTATCACCTTGACCTTCTTTCTAAACCTCTAGTGGGATTGCAGGCATGTACCCACCACAGTGAGCTTGTTTTTGAGACAGGGTCTCACTAACTTAATTGCCTGAGCTGACCTTGAACCATGATCTTCCTATGTCTGCCTCCCTTATGTCTTTCTTACAACTCAATGTGATGTGTGCACTGCCTTTCTCTCTCCCACTCTCTCTGTGTGTATGAAACTTTGGTTATAAACTCAAAATTTGAAATTTAAAAAAAAGTTGCAAAAACAAAAATAGTACAGAGAATACCCCCTGTACTCTTTAGCTAGTTTCCTCTGTTAATGTTTTACCTCATTTGCTATCTATCTGTCTATCTATCCATCCATCCACGTGCACACAATTTTTCCCTGAACTATTTTAGATAAGTTATAGACCTCTGCAGTGCTTTACCTCTAAATATTTCTGTGTACATTTCTTAGGAATAGAGACATTCTCTTACACAGTACAGTTATTAACTTTATCAATTTATGTTGGTAAAGCCATCTGTCAGTATTACAGTTTTGTCAGATGACCTGTAAATATTTTTATTGAATTTTTTCCCCTTCCAACACAGGATCTGATATGGGGTTAGATATTGTATTTAGTTGTTGTTATGTCTTGTTTTTTTTTTTGAGACAGAGTCTCACTGTATAACTAAAGCTGTCCTTGAATTCACAGTCCTCTTGCCTCATTCTCCCAAGTACTAGGATTACAGGTGTGTACCACCATGCCCAACACTGTCATGTCTTCTTAACCTCTTTAAAACAGTTACACTGCTTTTGTCTTTTGATGTTCTCTTTTATGAAGAATTTAGATCTTTTCTAATATATCGTATTTGGCCATAAGTCATTTATTTTCACGCAGTACTATTTGATTCTTAAAAATGCTTTTGAAGTGGGCATTATTTGTTCGCACTTTATCATTAAAGAAATCAATTGGTTAGGTGGCTCAGCCAAAGCCATATTGCTAATACTGTTAATTGGTAAAGTACTATGTGCAAGGAACTTTAAAAAGTACATAACTTGCAGATACTCGCTTTAAACCTTTTAATGACCCTTTAAGGTGAATCGGGGCCCTGATGAATACAGAGTAAGGTTTAGACTGAGGGAGCTCAGAGAGTGTAAGTTAGATTTTTATTCTTAGCCCCTGTTTATCTTCTGCAGTGGCTGAATAAGATTTTGTGATTTTTAAATTTGTTTTTTAGTCTCTAAAAAATTGAAAATAGGAGCTGGAATGAGGCAGAACTTTTCACTTTTCAATATTGCTTTACCTGCACTTTATCAGGGCAGATAGAGGTGCATTGTTGATGGAATAAGAATTTTGCCTCCTCTCTTTATTTATAGCTGCAGGATGTTTCTTTTTACTGAGACTACATTTGTATGATACGTTATAGATTACAAAGGACCTTTCACATAAGTCGTCCTTGCATTCAAATATATGTTTATTTAATAAGTAAAACACCACATTTTATAGTGCAGTAGCACTAACAGGAGAATATTTTGCAGCTGTGGAGTTTTTTCTTTTGTTCATCTTTCTTTTTTCAAGGCACAGTGCTTGGTAGAAGAGATGTCTGAAGGCAAGATTATCAGAAGCAGGAGCTGGCCAGCTGTTTGCTCATTTTAGTCTGTGTTAAATCATCTAACATGCCTATGGGGAGATGTGTCAATTGATTAATGGGCCAGAGTATTGATTTTATGTTTTCAGATTGCTAACAGAGGAGATTAAGCTTCCAGATACAAGCAATTTCATAACTCTGTTTTCAGACAGGCACGTAATTAAAGTAACCACACAGTTCACTGAGGTTAAAGTTCCATACTGTGATACAAGACTATTTGGTATTTAAAAACGGTGTGGAGCTATTGTGTAAGTACTCTAGTCAACTGTCCTTCTCATCCTGGCTTTTCTATTTGACAGTATATCCAGTGATGAGGTTTATTTTAAGGAATCTTGAGAACTATAGTAATTTTAGCAAATGGAGACTAAATATATTATGAAGCATCAAGATAATTGAAGTACAATGCTGCCATTCTTTTTTTCTTTCTTCCTTTTTTTTGGGGAGGGGGGAGGGAACTGGAGTTTGAACTCGGCTTTCTGCTTGCAAAGCAGGTATTTTACCACTTGAGCCACACCTCCAGTCCATTTTGCTCTGGTTATTTTGGAGATGGGAGCTCATGAAATGTTTGCCCTGCCTGGGCTGTACTTGAATCACTACTGTTCTGATCTTAGCCTTCTAAGTAGCTAGGATTACAGGTGTGTGTGAGCCAGATAAGCTGCCATTCTTACTGTATGTCACAGGTGATTATGATACATTGTATGTGCAAAAATCAGTCTATGAAACAGAATTATGGAGTAATCCTGCTTTTCTTCCAAAGGTAAATACCCTCCCCACGAACACAAACACTGCAGAGAATGTTTTTGGTCTAAAAACATTAAATTTTGCCTAGCAAGCGTGAGACCCTGAGTTCAAACCCCAGTGCTGCAAAAAAAAAAAAAAAAAAAAAAAAAAAAAAAAAAAAAATAAAAACATTAAATTTTTAGAATAACTGTAGAATAACTTAAATATATATTCAGATAGCTGAAGATAGCTTGCTGAGATAAAAAAGTTGGAGCCCTGTGTTTTTTTTTGACTCTTGAAGGTTTCATTTATTTATACTGTCTTTGCCCTGTTTTTATTGGTAATATTGAGTATTTTCAGAATGGTTATAATGGATTTTTCCTATGGGGGAGAAATGAATATTTGACCACAGGTGGTTTTCATGTTTTGGTATGAGGCATGTGAATTGGCAGCCTTTGAAACTTTAATACTGTATAATGTGCAGGTGCTTTTATTGTTTATAGAAATGCCTAATCCTTGTTTGAAATTTATTAAATGGTATGCCATCTGTAAGCCTCCCCAAATTCCATGGATTAATTAGCCTTTAAAGTAAGGTTTCCTTTTATCTAACTTTTAGTATAAACTCTTCCATCTGGGAACCTTCTCTTTTATGTTTGTTCAGTGCTCTGTGTACTTCAGCACCCTAGTATTAAGTATTAGTTATGGACACTGACATTCTTATTAACAATGAAGGTAACTAAAAATACCATTTGACTGAACAAAGTGGTTGGTATTGTCCAGAGAATAATTTGCATGAGTACTCAATCCATAATGCCTTTGCTACTGCTATGTGTGTGTGTATGTGTGTGCTGAGCATCCTTAAAGAGTAGGATAGTTATTCTGCAGGGAAACTTTATTCATGATGGTTGTATATAATCAGCCTTCTTATGAAGTTTCCATTAAAGAAAACAAAGGATAAAAAAACACCCCTTTTTGACATCTCATATAATGTTTCTTTTTCTTGTGGGTTACCATGAAAGATTGTTGACAGTGTTTGGTGCTAGGAGATTGCTTGATTATATTTTAGCATACCTGTGCTTCTAGAAAGTATAGTATTTGAATGGGAATTATGTTATTTTGAAAGAAATTGATATGAAATTGTTTATTTACTGATGGAGTTATAGAACAACTCCACAGTATAATGTTTATTGTAAACAGATATAGGTCGGTAAAGTATTCTAGGCATCTATATACTGACACTAACATTATTATTTGGTGCCTTTTGTGGGCTTAATTTTGTCTCTCACCCAAAGAAATTAGATTAGTGCTTTAACAATGGGTTCCAAATTTAGTTTAGAAAAATTAACAAAAATAATTTTGCTCAGTAGGTTTTTATTGCAGTAGATATTGTGGTTACTGAATAAAAAAGTAGTATCAGACATGGTTTTGGGTCTCAAGGTCAAAAAGAGGAGACTTTTTTTTTTTTTTTCCGTACTGGGGCTTGACCCAGGGCCTACACCTGAGCCACTTCACCAGCTATTTTTGTGAAGGGTTTTTTTGAGATAGGGTCTCGAGAACTATTTGCCTCGCTAGCTTTGAACCAAGATCCTCCCGATCTCGGTCTCCTGAATAGCTAGGATTACAGGCGTGAGCACTGGCACCCAGCACTGGCAACCAGAGGTGACATTCTTTAAACAGTTGAGATCATTTGTGTTCTGGTCTGTCTTCTAAATTGTAAGGGCATTAGATGACCAGAGAAAAAAAAGAATTGGGTAAGAACCATTAGAATTTGGAGAGACCTTAGAACTATGTTAGTGGAGGAGATGGCATTCCAAATGGGAATAAGTACTATAAATTTAAAAAATGAGTTAGGTATGTGTGAAGATTATGGAGTAGCCTTAAATGAGAAGATTGGAAGATATGGCTTCAGTAGCTGTAGAGATAGGGCAGAAGGTTTGGTTAGGTGGGGGGTGACCACATTAAAGAAGGCCTTGAAAGTAGAAATGGGTTTTAGGGTATATGCATAGCTTGTCTTTGCAATAGAGTAGTAAGACCAAAATGTTTTTCTTTGTTTTTTTTTGGCTCGGGGGAAGTTATATTTGAAATGGCAAAAGGATGAGATGAAAGACAATTCAAGTGGGATTATATTGCAGTGGTCTATGGATGACTTAATGAGTGCGTGTATTAGGAGAGTGAGTGGGAATAGGAAGAAAGGAATACCTGAACACATTTCCACTGAAAGGAACTTGGTCATTAACGTATACTCAGCATGAATTTATTGAGTGAATGAGAGATTGAGAGGTGCAGCTAGTATAGGTAATAAAGGAAACATAATAATGGTTACTTTTATATCTTGACAGATTCTTATTGATAAAAGATGGGTAGACTTAAGTGTAAAGATTTAAAGTATACAGGAGAATGTGAGTAGGTTATGTAAATACTAAGCCAATTTTATGTAAGAGACTTGAACGTTTGCAGATTTTGGTATCTGTGACATAGTATGGGGTCCCATGAATACTGAGGAATGACTGTGTATATATCTGTACTTAAAGGCACTTTCTGAGGGAGTTTCTGACGGGAAAATTAGATGTGCTTGCTAGGTAGGCACACTACTGCTTAAGGCACACCTTCAGCCTTAAAAAGTCTTGTTTAAGCATTTGATTTTAGTTTATTTAATTTGAGCAGTATATTTTAAAATCTGAAAATGACCACTAATTTGTGTTTTGAACAAAGTTGTTTAAGATAATTGTGAAAACCAGTATATTCTGATGTATTTTGATCAAATTCTGGAACCAGAATATTATGATTCATTGCAATTTTTCCTAGATTGCTGTGCTAAGGAGACAGCAACGGATGATAAAAAATCGAGAGTCTGCTTGTCAGTCACGCAAGAAGAAGAAAGAATATATGCTGGGGTTGGAGGCTAGGTTAAAGGCAGCCCTGTCAGAGAATGAGCAACTGAAGAAGGAGAATGGATCACTGAAGCGGCAGCTGGATGAAGTTGTATCAGAGGTGAGTGCTCATCATGGAGCTGGCTGAGGTGGGTTAAAAGTTTTGTTTTTTCCTGATAAGTAAATTGATAAACTTTTACATTTTTAAATTAAATTTTGTACAGCAATAGTGCTAAGAAAATGAGGGGCACAATAAGCCCCAAACTATTTGCACAAAGGAAAGAAATTTAAAAGACAACTTTTTGAAGTTCCACCCCATCTCTCTGTGGTACTGAGGATAGAACCCAGGGCCTCAAGAGTTCTAGGCAAATGCTCTACCACTGAGCTACATTCCCAGCCCAGAAGATGATCTTTTGAATTGGACCTCCCAGTCTGTGTACAAAAGTTGTCTCCTTGTCTTAAGTTTCTCGTATTACCTTAGTACCCTCTTTTCTAAGTGAATTACATTGAGGCTCCCAAATAGTCCTGCCATGTTTTCTATTTTTTTTTTTTAAAAAAAAGAAAATAATACAAAATGAAAATGTGTTTTTAAAATCTTTTTCTGTGTCCACTTGACCACTGTTACGTTTTTTGCATCCTATTGCCAACTGGTTCCAAGAAGATTAATCTCCTCAGTTTTCTTCATGATATCTGCTGCTTTCAGGATTCTCACTACCATGTAGTCCTGAATCAAATGGGTGCCTGTTGAGTGGGATTTCTTACACTGTTTTGCCCCTGAGCACATGGGAATACTCTAGTGTGTTGCTGAAGTAATAATGATTTAAAAGATAGAAACAAACTACTGAATTGTCTCAGAATTCTTTGGAGGAATCCATAAAAATATAAATCTGATTTACCTTCTTATTTCTTTATCTGTTAGAAAAGAGGACTTGAAGACGTTGCTCTAGTCTTTTGAAAAGTGCTATATCCTCAGCTTTGAGTTTTTTTGGTTTTTTTTTTTTTTCTTGATAAAAAAAGGTATTCATATAACTGATAAAGAGAATTCTTTTGTTAGGTATTGTGTTTTGTGAGGTTGAGATATATATTTAATATATATTTCATATGGTCATTTTCTTTAGAACCAGAGGCTTAAAGTCCCTAGTCCAAAACGAAGAGCTATCTGTGTGATGATAATATTGGCATTTATAGTACTGAACTATGGACCGATGAGGTAAGCATATGATTGTTTGTTTAGGATGCTCATACTAAAAGTTTAAATGCTTAGTATTTTTTTATTATTTAGCTCTAGTCATAAATAAGAGGGAAACTGATTTGTTTTGAACAAAATCAGCATCCTAGATGTACAAAGAGTAAGTAGACTAGAGCCATGTATTCAAAGATCTCATGATCCAGCTGGGAGAAGAGTCATGTAAAAGGATGAATATGATATAATGTGACGTGTGTAATAATAGCACTATGAACAGAATATTGAAAGAATATAAACGAGAGTGTGAGTTCCTTAACATTATGGTTCATGTCATATTGATAGGTGCATAGTGCAGTGTTTTGCCAAATGACTGAATGACAAGGGAAATCACCTCCAAGGAACCAGAACTTTGAAGTGTGATACCAGTTTGTCAGGTGGAAAGAATGGGAGAGGTGTGTTGAGTAGAAGGAATAGCATGTTTAAAAGCACCATTATGGGCTAGGCATGGTGGCTCATGCCTGTCATCTCAGCTACTTAGGAAGTAGAGATCAGGAGGATCATAGTTTGAGGCCAGCCAGAGCAAAAAGTTAGTAAGACCTCATTTCAACCAACAAGTTGGACAGTGGTAGTATGTCTGTGATCCCAGCTATGCCACAAGTCATAGGTATGAGGATTGTGGTGTGAGGCTGGCTCTGTAAAAAACATGAGATGCTACCTGAAAAATAACTAAAACCAAAAAGGACTGGGAATATGGCTCAAGTGGTAGAGTGCCTGCCTAGTAAGCACGAGGCCCTGAGTTCAAACCCTAGTATCACCCCCAAAATAATAATAGAGGTGCCGTTATAAAATGGCATTGCATTTTCAGAAAAAAGTGAAAAGTTCAGTGTATGTATATATACACATATGCATATATACAAATACATATCCATATATGTATATATGGATATATATACATATATGTATCCATATTATATATATTATAATACATATATATCCATATATATATCCATATATATATATATGGATATATATGTATACACACGCACACATATGTGGAGGCTGCCTGAGGCTAGGTATATGGCCGGAGGTATATGTGGAGCCAGATAATGAAGAACCTAACATGCTGTTTTATCCAATGAGGCATCCCTTGGTTTTTAGGCAGAGGGTAACATAGTCAGCTTTGTATATTAGGAAGATGACTCTTGAGGACTGTATTAAGAATGGAATGGACTAAGGAGAGACTGTTGACAGAGATAGCATTAGAAGACCATTGATGTCTTTCAGTAATAAATTAGGTTCTGAATGTAGATTATGGCTGTCAAGGATAGGCTATTTCAGAGTAAATCTCTGATAAAAGACTGGGATTTGATATCTAGTACAATGTGGGACATGAAGAAGAATAGAGGGAAATCAAAATAAAGCCAAAATTTCTGTCTTGAGGGACTTGATAATATACTTATCTGAGGTAGCAAATAGAAACATAAATAGTTTTATGATGAAAGAAAATTGTTTTTATCTTTTGTATGGGGAGTTTTGATACTGTCTAAGGAACTGAGATTACCATTAAAGAGAGAGACAGACAGACAATTGTAGTGGAGTAGATGAGATATCCAAGGAGAACAAGTAGAGGAAAGACAGTAATAAGAATTTGGAGGACACCAGCATGAACAGTAGATAGGCTCAAGAAAAGAAACTCAAAGCAAGTAGAATTAGGGACAGAGCTAAATGGATGTTTTCTGAAGCTGGAGTAAAGAGAGTTGAAAGGTCTTGGGAAGTGGTATCCCATGCTGCTGAGAGCTTGGGAGAGGCAGAAAGCTGAATTTGGTGATTCAGGTCAGTGGTATTCTTGACAGAAGATTTATGAGGGGTAGGAGTGAAGTTTATATTAGTTTATTGAGAACTAAAAGGAGTTAGGAGTCAAATAACCTCATTTTTATTGATAAACATTGTTACAAAGATTTGTAAGATCTTTGTACCAGTTTCTCTAGTTTGCAGAAAACTAGAGAAAATAGGTTTGTTTTTTTTTTTAACCGCTACCCAGCTTCAGTTTTTGCCAGTTCTGTGGAAAAGAGTTTAGGAAGTAAAGACAGTGAATAGGGACTCTCCTTTAAAGAACTTTTGGTGAGCTGGGTGCTGGCAGGTCATGCCTTCCCACTTGGGAAACTGAGATCAGGAGGATTATAGTTCGAGGCCATGCTGGGCAAATAATTCACAAGACCCTATTTCGAAAATACCCAACACAAAAAAGGGCTGGTGTAGTATTTCAAATGGTAGAGTGCCTGCTTTGCCAAGCATGAAGTCCTGAGTTCAAACTCCAGGGGGAAGGGTAGGAAGGAAATAGGAGGATTAAGTAGATTCTTTTTAGGATGTAAGACACTTTAGGAAATGGTTATTTAGTTTTTGGTTAAATTCTCAGTGAGATGTATTATTAACAATTCTTTACATGCGTGCTTGAAAATATTTATATTCATTTTTCTGTCTTCCTTTCCTGGCCCTACCCACAGGTTTAATATCATTGTTTCTTTACCTGTTTGTCATATCACTTAGTTTTCAAGTCCTTTAACTAACCTGGTTCTTCTCTTGTGAATACACTCATTCATTCATTTTTTTCCTTCCAACTGAGCTACTTCAGTGTTCTGGCTTTGTGCTCCTCACTATTTATCAGTGTATGTTTGGAATGTAATGTCCTGATCTGAATTAATTTCCTCATGTAGAGGACAGTGAAACTCTTTTACCTCCTAACAGCACTGTTTTTTTCATGTAACCTAGGATGATGTTTGCTCTTTTTTATGTATTTGATGGCCAAGCTGGATCATTTCCATTTTATTTCTCTACAGGTTGTTTATATTCATCTTTATATTAACATAACTCTCTAGATCATTTGATATCCTATCATGGAATTCCTGAGACCTATATACCTTTCAATTAGTATCCTAAGACAATTCAGTAGGAAGAGGTAATAATTTTGAGTTAATGTAGTTTTGAAACTTCACACTATCCCACACATGTTAAATACAGTACACTGGAGATACTTGGAATGAATATTTGAATTATTAAAAATATTTTTTCACCGCCTTTTTTCATTATATACTGTTAACATTTTGCCCATCTTCTTCATATTAAAGTTATTTTGATATTTAATTTTTGTGTTTGAGGAATGGGACTTCTGTTATTCATGAAGGGCTATGTCTTGATTAATAAAGGAGGAAAGAAACATAATCTAGACTTTTTCCTTCTGATTTAGGAACTTGAAAATAATAAATTTCCATGAGTAAACTGAGTCAGAGTATAGCAAAGTGAATATAGACTCACCAGCAAGGCTCCAAATGAAGCTTCTTTTACTGACACTTCCCAGGATCAGAGATTGTAGGCCATAGTTATCCTACTGTGCTACAGAACATTAGAAGTTATTTCTCCTACTCAATTGTACTCCAATACCAGTTTTTTTTTTTTTTTTTTTGGCTTCTCTCTATCCCTCTTTCCCCTCCCCAGCCTCTAATAGCTACTATTCAAATCTCTACTCCTAAGAGATCAACCTTTTTAGCTTCAAGGTCTCTCTCTTTTTTTATTTAAAAACATTTATTTCTGATGCAGGGTCTCACTGTGTAGCTCAGGCTCACGTCAAACTTGTGATCCTCTTGCCTCAGCCTACCAAGTACTGGGACTACAGGTGTGCATCACCACACCTAGCCCTCAAGTTCTCTTTTATATAATAACTTTTTCCACTAACTTCTCTCTCATGACTTTCCTCCATAGCCATTGAAGAAAATAAAACTATAGGTTTTATTATCTTATATTTAAACATCAGTTTTTAAAGGTGACCATTAGTAACTCTGCTCTGAAGATTCCTACTTTTGTTATTAAAGAGACTGCTCCTTTTATTCCTTTTTAAATGTATATTTACCTCTCTATTTTCAATTACCAGAGAATAGATGAAAGTAGAAAATGATTATTTGAGATTGGAAGGTTGTGGGGGATGCGGTGGAAAAAGGGTGGTTGGATATAATCAGTGTATGTTGTATGCATGTATGGAAATACAAAAATTTCAGAAAATAAAAAACTGTGTAGAGTGGAAAGTGACAGGCTTCTAATTCAACTTTCTCCTAGCCACTTTCCTTCCCCCAACTCACTCCTTCCTTCCTTCCTCCCTCTTGTTTTCTTTTATTTCACTAGTAGTAGAGTTTGAATTCAGGGCCTCTTTATGCTTATTATGTAGGTGTTCTACCACGTGAGCCATGCCCACAGCCCTTCTTTTCTTCTTTTTCTTTTTGGTGGAACTGAATTTTGAACTCAGAGCCTCCCTTTTGCTAAGCAGGTGTTCTTACCACTTGAGCCACTCCGCCAGCCCTTTCTTGTTATGGGTATTTTTGAGATAGGGTATCATGAACTGTTTGCCTGGGCTGGCTTTGAACTGCAATACTCCTGATCTCTGCTTCCTGAGTAGCTAGGATTATAGACATGAGCCACCAGCACTCAACCTATTTTTAGTTTTTTGAGGAGCCTCCATACTGTTTTCCATTGTGGCTATATCAATTTACATTTACACCACCAGTGTCAGAGGGTTCCTTTTTCCCACATCCTTGCCAACATTTGTTGTTGTTTGTGCCTTCTTTTCTTTATTTTTTTTTTCAGATTTCCAAACATATATTACTTTACTAATTCAGTCAGAATATTTTAAATATTTACTAAGTATTAAGCGTAATGTAAAACTATTGATATAATTGTAAATAAAACTAAAGCATCCTTGCCCTAGTGAAGTTTATTGTCTAAGGTGACATACATACATACATATATACATATGCATATGCGTATATATGCATTTGTATATGCATATGTATGTGTATATATATATATATATATATATATATGTACATGCACACATATATTTTTCTTTTTTGGTGGGGCTAGGGTTTTGAACTCAGGACTTTGCTGTCTACTGCTTGAGGCACTCCTCCAGTCTATTTTTCTCTGATTATTTTGGAGATGGAGATCTCACAAACTATTTGCATGGGCTGGCCTTGAAC